ACCGCGAGCGAGCGACGCGAGGACTTAACCGACATATAAATAGCGTTTAGTTGAAACGGATGCGGTAGAACTCGCGTGCACGTCTTGCGAGGCGATCCGGAAGACACGACTCGCTTTCCAAGGAACTCCTCCTACTCCGGGACGCCGATACGAGTTGCCCCGCGATTCGCGACACCGACGCGCCAGTGATTTCCGAGAGTTTCCGCGGGAACGGTCGCGTATCGACGCGCTTTCGCCCAGCTTTCTACGAAATCTCGTTCGCCGGTTGAACTCTGTTCCTCATAAGCGATTCGACTCGCTTCTTCCTCGCGGTCTGATCGATTGATATTCAAAACGCGATAACGTTTGAGTGACTTTCGTCGTTTCGTTCGCCGGAAAGATGGTTTCTGTTTACGATGACCGTTTACGATGAGCACGATTTCATTTAACGGATCGCCGTGAATTCGATCGGACACGTTAATCGGGACGATAGATAGAGGTGAAGAGGAACACGGTCTAGAATAGAAAGGTTCGTTTAATACGCGCAGTTGTTCGGGCAGAAATCCCGGGGGATTCTCGAGGACGGCTGGCAGGTAAACGGTCTCCAGGCGACGCGAGCAAAGTGCAACTCTTCGGTAAAGGGCAGTACCTGCACCGTGAACAACTACAGCATCGTCGCCTCTAGGGGAGAGCTCGCTCGAAATAACTGCGCGGCGAGAGAGACGCCGGCGCCGTGTATCGCGAGCAGGAAGAACAGCAGCACGGTCCTCGGCGCGTCCGTGTGCACTCGTCCCGTGCGTCGCGATACCTTTCTCGCGCAAGAATTTCCTAGGAAACAGCTCCCCGAAGACACCGGCGAATCGGAGAACCTTGGGAAACTTCAACGACCCATCCGCAAGTCGTTCTCCGTCCCCGTCAATCTCACGGAAGGTACATACCTGTACGTCACATACAGCGGCGAACATACACTTACGAACATGTGAATAATTACGCTTTCATTATCTGTAAAACGGTATTAGCATTATTTACAACATGACATTTCTCTTATGTTTGAGACATTTGCCGCTTCTCTGTTTCATCTTACTCGACTAACTTTGACATCATAGGTTGTAGAAGATGGTTAAATTCTGTGACATTTTTTAAGCTGATTGAATGTTATTTTACATTTTTCAAATATACATGTATATCATAAAGAAATCTATGCTCTTCCTGAATATTATTAATACGATGAATGGTGGTCACCGGTGACCAACCAAATCGAAGTATCACAGATTATCAAGATCACTCAATTAAACGACGATTATTTGAAAACATTTCTATATCATAAATAATGCTAGTGCGGTGACGTTGAGCTAGATGAACGTGCAATAATAATAATGCAATCCAATTGAATAATTCAATATTGTATTTCTTCCATTTTCTGTATTTTGCTCTATGAAACTGTGCGGCATTCAACGTGTTAACAATATTATTAACAATAGAAATCCACCCACAGATGTTCGTAAGTATATGCCGACCACTGTACATTTTAAACCGGTCCTCTTGTTTAATACTGTTGTAGCGTGCGCATGTTTTCGCGATATTCTCCGAAGTCGGCAAGATTTTGTAAGCTAGATAAACATAGCTCTATAATACCGATACTCGAACGAAGTACTTATCTACTTATTTATTATGTACAGTCGATGTTACCGCGCGTAAAACGATTTACAGGTTTCTCGGCGCGGGAGAAAACCGGACGAGTGACTGAGAACGGTTTACTGAAAAGGTCTTCTGCACTCTTGGCGAATTTCACGCAGTCCGTAAGCAGAATCGCGGACAGAGGGAAGAACGATTCGTCGAAGCAAGGAAAAGCTGGCTCGTACCTTTATCGGTCGGAAGCGGCCGGTGCTCCGAGCAAATACTCGACGTTCAAGGGATACTTTTCGATTTTAAGCAACGTCACCGGTGACCACCGACCGCAACCTCTCCGACGATCGCCGAGCTGTCAAACGTTGCCGATCGAGAGAAAGAAGAGCGGCGCTCGCGTGAAGAAATCGGTATCGTTCAGTTCGGACACGAGTTTCCAAGAAAGACGGGGTACCTTCGGAAAGGCTGCCGTCCACGAAGTCAAAGTCTACCACAAGGGCGTCCTGCAAGGTACTTACACGAGTTTCATTCGATCGAATCACGAAAGAATCGTTAAGCGTCGCGTCGATCGCGATGCTCGCGCTCGGTATCGATCCCCGAAGAACATGGTATCTCAATTTCACAGCTGTTCCCGAGCGATGCTAGGATTAGCGCGGCGTTCCTCGCGTCACTGTTTTCTTTGGAAATCCTTCAAGAGAACGAGCTAAATGCACATAGCGTACCTCCGACGCTTGTACGAGAAGAATAGAAATCGAAAACCGATAGCGTAGTGTAAATCCTTCGGAATTCTGGCGCACGAAGTCTCGTGTCGATCGTTGCACGAGTAAATTCAACGGGAGATCCGTTCGACGAGATTCGATAAAAGATATACACCTAAGTAGACGTAAATCGTTGTAAATGGTTCTGTCTAGCCAAGACGGTGATTGTTCGATAGATCGGAGTGTGCTCGGGAACACGATTCTCACAAAAGTGCCGCCGTCGTGGGAAACATCCTCCGAGGGCCGATCGGCCTTCCTGAGGGCTGCGAGGGATGCCGACGACACGGCGCTCAATCAAATCGCGGCGCAGGTGCAAAGGTTTGGATTCGGAGACATGGACGTTAATATGGTTGACAGCAGCGGCAGGGTCAGTACCGTTTGAATTATACTTTACAGATACCCTCGCTATTCGACGAGCGATCACGATGATACAGTTACGTGGTAAAGTTAGTTTCGAAAACCGGCGAACGGAGAGCCCTCGCGCTTGCTTCCGTGACAGCTCGATCATGTCCGCCGCAGCGGAATGTGTAAATTTACACGGCGAGAAGCGCATCGATATCGTACGTTGCTTGTTCCGTCTGCAGCCGAGGTCAGTGGTTATCAAATTGCTAACGAAACTGCTAACGAAAGACGTTACGGCGGATCGCGTTTGTTTCTCAAATATCTTTACGATTCCGCGGCTTATCAAGACATTACTTGGCGAGAACGTTGTCGGTGGATCTTACTCGGTCGAATGACATTTCAGCTTGACTTTCTACCGGTCGACCGAGGAATCATGCCTATTCATTTCCACGCAACCGCTGCGCGACGAATTCAAAGACGGAAAGATTGGGAGTCCCTGGTTGAAACGTACGGGGTCACGGTCATTGATTCGGTCGAATAGGGAATTAGATGGGTTCTGTCTAATGTTAGGCCGTCTGGTTATCCTTCGATGTATAATCAGCACCGGCGGTTCATTCGGCTGAAATTTCGGTATTTATTTAAAGGAACTATCGCTGCGATAGAGTGTCGCGTAAATGTCACGTGTGAGATCGATTGTTCCGCCCCCCCCTTTTCTTGCACTTCGAAATTTCAACTCGATCAACCGCCAGTGCTATTTGGATGTATAGTGGACCCCTGTGTAACGCGTTTTCTATGACACGGCGATAAAATCGCGACTAGTACTCGTACGAACGAGTACTTAACGTTTTCACATAATTTTTTACTTTTCGTGTAGAAAAGCAAATGTATATACTCACCTGCAATTTATATGTGAACAGTGAAGCTGACAGTTCAAAAGAAGTAACGGTTTATAGAAGAATAATAAGACATCTATACGCTTAAAGATAACAAGAGGAACATATTTTTACTCAGCGTTTAATTAGAATGAACATATGCACTTCACAGATTCAATGATATAAAAGGAAACATAAACATGCACTTCACTATTTAATATTTATTCACTACAGGGAGTATCAAGAAGTAAGTCCGAACGAAGAGAGTCCATCATCACCGACATCATCACCGATGTCGATGATAATGAAAGTCACAAAATTTGATATTTTGAAAATCAATCTTGTAAATTTTGAGCGACAACGGTCACAATGTAGAGACATATTTGAAGTTGCAAATAATCCGCCCGACAATACATCCCCCATATAACGCGGAGCGTATCCCCCGCGTTGTAGGGGGTCCACTGTACTAGCCACAGTCGCCTTCACGCGATGACACGATACACGTATGACGCATGCGACGCTGGTATCGCGTAACTACCAAGACACGATACGCGTACGAGATATACGTTCGGGAATGAAACATATCTCTTTCGCTTTCCTGTTGATTATTCAGCTTTCAGTTGAAAATATCTTTTCTCCTTGGGCGAACAATGCAATGCGATCGAATGTTTTGTTTGTCACTTATGAATAGGAAAAGTGTCGCAAGACACTTACATAAGTGCTTGTTTACGACAGTAGGCGTATCGTCGATTGAAAGCGATTTTCACGAATCGCTCGGCTGCAATATCGATCGGTATCGGCACCCTCGCGGACCTAGACGTTCGCGTGTCAACAAGCACGGCAAAATTTGTTGTCGCGGGAACAGACGGCAGTTTCATTTCCTTGGTCAGCGCTCATATTTCATTTCGTAGAAGCTGCTCGAAATGCAGACGGGTCGTTTCCGTTAGCCCGAAAGAAATCGAACGATCTTTTCGACGAAAGCAATTACTGGTCTGACGCGCGCACGTTATAGCAAAACGGATAAAGTAATAGCGTTTGAACGATCGCGTGAACGTCAGTAGCCACTTGAATAAATTGACCCGTAACGCGTGGCGTATTGTGCAACTTTCTAAAGCAAAGAACGCAACGCAGTCGCCTCCGTAAAACGCCGCTGGAACGAGTCTTTCCACGGTTCGTATCGATGCCCGGCATCCGTGCGACGCGTCCGAATTAAGCTTCCGTGGTTTGATCCGTGTCCCTAGAAAATGGTAGGGAAGAACGTCGTGCGCGAACGGAGGCGAGCGAGATGCAACGGATCGACGGCCGCGGTAAACGCGTCCCTTCCGAAATTAAAAGGCGATTCACGTAACGGACGTGCTTTTCGAGCGAACTTTCCACTGAGTCATCATTCAGGATGTTTATTTGCACATTCAGACCGCCGTCAGTTACATGGCTGGAAACGGAACCGCGGCGATGTTGGAGCTAGCGCTGTCGTTCGAGGGGGTGGATGCGAACATTCCCGACAACGAAGGCAACACGCCGCTACATTTCGCCGCGCAAGCGGGTAAGCTGTTACGTTACGTTTCCGGGGAGAATGAGAGTAAAAGGGAATAGAGAAACACTGTTTCACACTGGTAGACAGCGTTGCTATTCGAGTCGCTCGGAAGCCAATGCAGTTAAATCGAATCTCTGATACTTTCTGATTTTAGTCAATTTTGATGGAATAAGTAATATTCTTCGTAGTTATTCAAGGATTCGGTTCTTCGTTTTTCTAGGTCAGAAAGCCCTTCTTTTTATAGCTTTCGAATATGTTGTGTAATAATTTCAGAAGCCAAAACATACATTTTCTCAATCTCTGTTTTCCGGACTTCACCGCATTGGCTTCCGAGCGACTCATTTATCGGCTCGCACGTGGCTGTTAATCGCGCGCGGCACGCTCGCTAGACGGAAAGAAAGGTACCGGTTGATTGTTCGCAGTTGTAGAGCAAACTGTCCGCTGTTCGAGTTACGCGATTCAAGGACAATCACCGGTTTACCCGTCCCTGCATTCGTATCGTGAGTAGAATCGAAAGAATGCGGCCACGCGGTTAGCATAAATTTCACAAGCATAACGCTCCTCGCGTTTTCGGGGAATAATATCGAGTGCTCGATATAAGCGCAACGTTAAATTTCACACACGCCGCGATGCCGTAAGGATCCGACCGCGTCACTCCTGCCAGAAATAACCGGCGTACTTGAGTACTCGAAAGACGCGTGGTCCGCGGTGACGTGCGCCGACGGACGTTTCAAGCCAAAACACACGCGCGAACGTTACGTTACCTGAAATAAGCGGGCACTCGAAGTTTCGAAGGTCGCCGGAGCTGGGTTGAACTTCGGTCTGAACGGTCGTCCACTTTTCTTCGATCTAGGGCAAGCGGAGTGTCTCAACATCCTCCTCCAAAGATGTCCGGACATCGAGATGGACGCTAGAAACTCTTCCGGCTTCACGCCGCTGATGAAGGCCGCCCTCCAAGGACGAACGAAATGCGCGAAAATTCTGTTGTTCGCCGGTGAGTGAATTTCGATTGTTCGAACGGGGCACGACATTTCCCTATCTGCTCTCGCGTTTAGGTGCTAATCCGACATTGAGGGATCACGGGAGAGGATTGAGGGCGGAACAGTGGGCCAGATTTTGCGGAAGGTACGTCTGCGCCGAAGTGATCGAAAGGTTCGCCAGGCACCGGCTTTTGGAGAGATCGACGTCGTGTCGTTGGGGCAGCGAACCGGAACTCGCTGCAAAGGTGCTGCAAGGAAAGGTAACCGGCTACGTAATTTAGTCAGATTAGAATGCCCTGATTGCGTAGGCGATATACGTTCATGACGTGGAATGACAAAGCGTATTGACACAGGTGATACCAATTCCCGCGGCGCCTCTCTCGCCGCCGTCCTCGGGATTAAAGTCAAAGATAAGGAAAGTGTTCCGCACTACGTCCGGGCCGGATCGAAATTTCTCGTTAGTTTCGCAATTGACTAGCGCCGCTCTATGCGCGAGCAGTCCCGTCTTGCCGAAAGCCGGCGAAGTCCCGCCCGTGGTGAAAAGTCTTCTTCGACCTCTCAGCGTCCCGCAGCTCAGGTATTGTGCGCTTTTATCGGGCACTTCGCGTGTCACGAACTAGAAATGATCGTTCGCGTCTGATACTTTCCAGGGTAACGCTGGTGTCGCCGCAGGAATTTCTCGAACAATCCAAGGAGAAGCACGGCTCGAGTTTTACGGAAAAGATCGAGAACGCGATTGTGAAACCGTCGCGGTCGAAGAAGAAGAGCAAGTAAATCGCACAGAGTATCTTAAGCAGAAGCGTCGGAGAAATTGTAATTTTTTAAGCATCGTCCCCGTGAACGGTTCGATATCGGAGCTGTTCCCGCGGCGCGGTTCTCTGTTCTTCTCTAGTGTAAAACTGCGAGCGATCTTATCGTTAGACGTTGAAATTAGTGTCATTTCTACGTGTTCGGCGTCCCCTTTTACTTGTTAACGGTGCGTTTTGTACGTCTGCGAACATCAGAGATTAAAAACCGTCTATTTTCCTCGGGCACGGTTTATTTGAGCGTCGTTGTACGATGTAAACGTTGTTTCAGATTGTTTTCGATGAAAATTCTGTGGTTAAAGGTGTAAGCGCTCGGAGCGGTCGAACTTATTTTTGGTTTACGATCTCGGTGGTCCGCACCAACGGACAGGAAGCCGTGGAACGTGTTGAAACTCGGGAACACCGAACAGTCGACTAAGGTCGCGGTGACTCATCGAATAACGGGAGGGAAATAGACGAAATACATAGTTTCAATACGCCGCTCCGATAAATGCCCGTTCGATTTCTATAGCTGAATGAACTCACCCCGAACCAGATTTATCTCGCGACATTCGAGCGTATGCGACAGCGACGCGGTGTTTTATACCTACGCGGTGATCGTCCTAACAACTTTTAAATAAATATCTTTCTATTAAAATTATTCTATTCAGTCGTACACTATCTTGACAAACGTTCGTCTATATTAATAATTACAATTACTTTATCTCGCAACCGCGAATGACGGCGATCCACCCGGCAAATGTCGGTCGCCAGTTGGTCGTTGTGGATTACAGCATATTACATATATCCTGCTCCTATATTTATACAAATGAATTTCCACGAATCGATCGTACGCACGTGCACGTCTAATGGAAGAACCGCGAAAACCGGATATAACGAGGTAGAATGAGATCGATGAACAAGAACGCTTCGACTCTGAGCCTCGTGTATCTACGTATTCCGACGATTCGGATAAAAATATATCTATAAACAAATAAACGCGAGAAACGGTTCCCCGGTTATTGCCGATTCATCGAACACTGGCATCATCGTCATCGGCACGTCGGCTCTCTCTATGTGACGTCGCTCTTCTTGTTACGACGTTGCCTCCGATTCTTCGCCTTCGAAAGAATTTCGTACGCCTTCTGAATCTCCATAAATTTCTCCTGGGCCTGTCGCCTCTCTTCTTCCGTGCCCTTTATCTTGTCCGGATGATTATCCCTCGAAAGAGCTCTCCAACGAGCCGTGACTTCCGACTGCGTGGCCGTTGGCGAGACACCCAATACCTGCAACACAGAATCGGCCGTGTCGACGGTGAAATTCCACGGGACGGGATTCGGGGCGGGGAAGATTGAAAATATACCTCATAAGCGTTTATTTCATCCGGGGGATCGGTGAGATCGAGCAGCTGCTCCCACGTTGCCCAGAAACCTTGATGCTTGGTTTGGTTCCAAGTTGCTTCGAGACTAGTCTAACCAAATGAAACCTTTGTGAGATTTGTGAGATTTTTAACGGTTCGACGTTCTGTGCGATATCTCCGGCTAAGAAACTTACTTTGAGATCGAGCCATATGTCGGAGGCCAAGAAAACTTGAACGTACTCGTACAATGGCATCTCCTCGCCCTCGCTGTCGGTCACCATGACGTTGAAATACAAATTGCAACTGTGCAAGGTCAGATACAAAGCAGCGGCCAAGCTCAGATAAAACATTCTGCGCAGGAAGCTTTTCTTCTTTCTTGGCTTCAGCCTCCATTGCTTGCTGAACGTGTCGAAGCTGAGCGAGGCGGCTACGGCCATCAGGAACACCCACCAGCTAGTATCCCTGATATAGGGTAAGGTCGGGTAAAACACATACGCCGATCCCAGAGCCCACCATATGGATCCCTGCTCCCTACCGATATTTCCAACTAACCAGACACCTAATTACAGAGTAAGCTCAGTTTAAAAAATCATCGGGAAACATCAGCCATCGTAACGAATCGAAGTGTCGAGCTCGTTTACAAGCACGCAGGAATATCCGATAGTTTATAGAAATCTGTATTAAAACGTTTTCCGCGAATAGTCCGTGGAAAGATACGTAGCTACGACTACGCCTATCCGTTCGAGCGACCTTAGAAATTGTTATCGGTAAACCGACCAATATGTAAAGCGTAAACGATAAGCGGGAACGTTAAGTCCGCCGAGTACGAATTCATTATTTCCTACCTAATGCGATCACAAAAGGTGTCAAGACTAATAAGTGCCGAAAATTGATGCCAAAGACCTCGTCTGCCGGCATCGCACTGCGATACAGTTCGCCCCACGAAAATGCAACGCCGGTCGCAGCAGCGAATCGCACCGTCGAAAACGGCGGCTAAAATGTCGAATACGATTAACGTTCGTCTACCTTGTCCATAATGCAATCATCGATTCATCTGTTTTAGAACATGAAAACAGGCGGTGTGAGAATTTCAAGTACCTTGCCATAGTATCGAACTTTCTGCTTGAAGAAATGCACGAAACGAGGCTCCTCGTTCGCATCGTTCACGTACGTAGGGATCCTATAGATGTCTCGGAGCCAGCCGAGACCCACGAATCCGCCGAGAGTGCAGAAATACACGAACGCCTGGTCGTCCCTCTCCAGGTACACGTGGTGCGCTCCGACTAAACCACCGAAGGCCCATAACAAGTAAGTCCAAAATTTCGATTTCCGTTTCTGATCCTTCGCCGGTTTGTTGACCCCTTCGTCCACGCGTCCATTTCTCAGTTCCATCTTCGTGCTGCCCATCGTGACTCGGATTCGCGAATGGATCACGCGTTCGGCATTTTCGTAACTGAACCGTGACGATCTATACTCGATGCACTCTTCGTCGTTGAACACCGCTGACTACAACCGTGCAGCGACAACGGACAGTTACGGGCACAAAAAGCTGTCAGCACATTTGTCTTTGAGTCGAGGCACACATTCATGAATACGGACACGCGTATACACTCATCAATGACGTGTATGCAGGTGGTGTTTATCAACTGACACGATGTTCCTTGGTATCGTTCCTGCGCGTATCGACGGACGTCCGTTCGTTAACTATTTCGGTGAATCTGATTCACTTTTCCACTGCAATCTTTTTATTCCTGAAATCGTCGCCGCGTCTCGAAGGTGTACGTGCTTCGCTGTGCCGTTTTCGAGACTACCAGAGCTGGTTTCACCACGCCGGTTCTTACCGTTTGTGGTTCAACGGTGTAACGGTACCTGCACAGGAACGTACCAACAAAACCGATCGCGGATGGTACCAGGAATAACCAGGAATCGACGTTAACTCGGAACAGATCGATGGATTGGGCATATGGAATTCTAATTTGAATTTTGTGTTTTAGTGATTTATTATAAAAAATTGAAATACACCCGTGCATCTGTTATTTCCGGGCAAAAATTTGTTTACCGTTTCGATTCGTGCTGTAGAACATTTGAGTATCGTCAGGTTTTCGGGACACGAGGAGAAAATTCATCGAGAAATGTTTTCATCGAGTTTACGTATACACGTCTATATCTCTCGGAAGCGTGCACGCATATTTCGGTTCTCGCCATAAATTCAGGGTACTAAATGTCTGTCGTAAATATTAAAAAGGCCCCGAAAATAGCGTGTTGCATTTAACGGTTTATTCAACTTTCGGCTTGGCACGCTGAAACGCCCTTTTATTGTATTAACACGTTAGCTATTTGTATACGTGATACAGCGATTTCGGTGAAACCTTAACGCGAACGAACATTACGGTACCCGTTTATACTATGCGTGTGTACGTCTCGGATGTTTTTTATTTTGGCACTGCACCTGAACGATTCACGATCTATAGATCGCTTTAATCCGCTAAATTATACCCACTGCGCGGTACGCATCGATATTTAGCCGTCGAAATGTTGAAAGGACGTGTTTCATGGCCAAATCGAATAGGATAAAACGAGGATTGCAATGAAATTGCAGAAGCTAGCAGCTTTATTGATTTCACTGTCAAGTACACATTCCGTTGCAAGTACCTTTTCGTTACTCCGATGGAATCGTTCGCTTACAGTTCGTTTTGTGAAACCGATGAAGGCATTATTCGTGACACTAGATACATAACGCGGAGACATTGTGCTAATATAAACTTATACAATTCGATGGAATTGCGGACCAATGGATTCTTTAGGAGAACAATGGTTCCAAACACCAATGCCGTGTTTACATGCGTTGAAAAGGAAGGAACCATATCAATACATTGAACTGAGCGTTCCGGTATTCCGATGCGAATCCAATGGAAAATGTTTGACCCATTTAGTACACGCCTAACTCAACAATTTCTAGAAATAAGGTTCCTTTTACCGTGTATGCTAAAAAGCTGATAGAAAGTGGGAATGTCACACATTGCGAAGTGACAATCGATGATGGTAGAAATTGGATCCCATATTCAGCGCGTATTAGTTCTCTGCGTGTATTTTCAACCTATATTAAATGTTTTGCAGAAAAAATTTATTTTTACAGTGTATTACGTTCACGTTCTAATACAGTGGACTATTTATACCAGAGCGTTTCATTAGATAACGATTGCAAAATCTGATGCAATGAGAATGGGATACACGCAGGTCGATGCATTCGGCTGAATCTGACCTACTGCACAGTTCAATCATTCAATTATTGAAGTTCAAGTATACAAGTTTCAGTATACAAGTTCAAGTATTCAAATTAAAAGGGGCATTAATCGGTTGGAAATGTTTTCCTGATGGAAACGAGTCTAAACGCACAATATATCGAATAATAACGGAACCTACAGACTGATGAAAAACTTTATGAAAAATAATGTTTAAAATTGTTATGGAATATTTCGGGTTTTACCAGATATAGAAATTAATTCTCCGAGAAGCAAATTTTCCGTTACGTTATATTATGTACAATGAAATTATATATATTTTCATTAAAGATTCAATATTCATATTAAATTGTAATTTGAAATTTAAAGTCTTTATAACCAATAAAGAAAAACTCTATTCCCATCGTTCATATATCCTCGCATACATTTGTCTTTACCAAGTTGTGTAAAACATTTGCAGCAGAAATGAAGTATATAGCAAATTCGATTCCTACTAACAAACCTAAAATCTTGTATTATCGGTCACATCGAGCGCGACACCAAAATGGTACGGGGGTTTCGAGACCCCTGAGGCCCTAGACAAAAACTCCCATAAGCCGCAACGTCTGTACTATGTATCTTGAGTCTGTGCCTACTATATCACGGTCGTAAAACAGATTCCATTTTTAGCAGCGTACATGAACATGACCATGACTTTGAGATGAAAATCCCTAGACCAAAATGGTCCCTATATTCCTACTGACGTCATGCGCGGATTGAAGTAATTTTTCGATCGAGAAACGGTTAAATGGACTTTTCATATTATACACTCGAAGTACTTCTTCGCACGCACCATAAATTGCACGGGCAATCGTGCGAACGATAAATTATTTTCAAACCAAGCTTCTTCCCTGTCAGCCGTGTTTGTAATTAAAATTCCAATCAGACGCGACTTTTTCAGGATAAATGAAATATCTTTACAGACGCAATTTCTGAAGAAGTATTGATCACGTAATTTCGACCAAAATGTAGGGACAATCTCGACTGAAAGCTTGTCCCGAAAACAATATGGCGGCGTGCACGTGTCGTCTGCAATTCTTCATTGGAATCGAATATCGTACGTGTGAGATTTATCGGTACACTGTCCCTGGCCAGTTCACGATATTGCTGAAGGTAACGCAAGAATTATACTCTTGGTGAAGATGGAATTATCTGGTGGTGATGGAACGTTGTGACTCGACAAAGAGAGGCCATAAAGAGTGGCGACGAATAGCGAAAAGGGAGCGTCGCAGACGTCTGCGTCGCAAAGCTGCCGCTGAACGGGACGCGGACGCGGAAAGACTGAGGGCAGCACTAGAGAAAAATGCGGACTATTTGAACTGGCTGGAGAAGTGCGAAGCGGAAGAGAAAGAAAAGGAGAGGATAGAGAAAGAGGAGCACGAGCAGCGTGAGAAACTTTGGCTGGAAGAGGAAGTAAGTTGAAATGTTTTCTTCGATTCATTAACACGTACAGTGCTAGGTGTACCATATATGGTACACGGCAATTTCTGTTAGAAAATATTTTTAAGGGACGCACGGTCACGGGCGGTATGCGTTACAAAGCGAGAAAGTAAAGGAACAATATTAAAATGTATAAAAGTTACCGTAACTTGAATATAAGTTAATATTTTATGAAAAAATCAATACAGTTCATAAGCAAAATATAATTGAAATTTCCGTGGCACGGAACGTGTTAATCCATTAGTGACTAACATGATTTACGTATATTTATTGTTCGTTACAAGATAGGTCGTTTTTATTTCGTAAAATTACGCGTGTCGGACGCAGATTCTTAACACGTTCGCTAGCAACGTCACATATTTGTGACGGCCGCAATTCTATATTTTACATAATGAAAATGAAATTAATCGTATAGATATCGTTATTAGAAATTATACACTGCGACATTATATATAGGAATTCAATGACTCGTTTCAGTTTCAGTTTTCTAATGCTTTGTTTAGAAGATTTATTTGATTGAAGAAAATATTATAGTCAGGGAGACCGTCACCGAAATAAGCGCTGGTAGCGAACGTGTAATGTATTGTACGCCAAATTTCAGCTACTGGAAACGTGAGCGTCGGTAATCTTATTGATCTATTTTTAAACGTTAATCAAAGCAAAATTTGTAACTTACGAAGAAGAATAAGGAATTCGATTTTGTAATTTTACTTTGGATTTGTTATATATATCGAAAATGTTACATTAATGTAGGACTAGTAATTAAACGATAGACTAATTACTGACAATGCGTTAACACGTTGAACACCGCATGATCTCATAGAGCAAAATACTCAAAATGGAAAAAATATATTAAATCATTTGATTGAATTGCATTGTTATTATTGCAAATTCATCTAGCTGAATGTCACCGCATTGGTTAGCATTATTTATGATATAGAAATCTTTTCAAATAATCGTCGTTTAATTGAGTGAACTATAGATAATTCGATTTGGTTGGTAGTCACCGGTGACCCCCACGGCATTCAACGTGTCAAAATAGTTGTAACAGGCACGTTTTACATATTCCGAAAATAGAAGAAAGAATCGTATGCACTTATTATGAATTTCCATCGATTTGCTTTTGTTCCGGCAATCGATGGTTTCGGCGGGTCTAAAGTAAAAAAAAGAACTTCGCATAACCATGAAAATAACGCGAATATGTGGATACCGAAACCTGCTAGCTATTACGCGTTAACTGTAAGCTCGTCGAGCTTGATACGGAAAAGCGACGTCTTCAAAATATCTACTTACATTTTGTTCGATTTCCATAGGTGAAAGCTCAGAAGGAATGGCAAATCCTACAGGAACGAAAGCAACGGGCCCGACAATTGCAGTTGGAGCAGGAAGCGAAAATCCGAGAAGAGTTTGAGGCGAAACAAGAAGTGATTCGCAAGAAACAAGAAGAAGAGAAACAGAAGAGAGAGGAGGATATCAAGAAGCGGGAGGAACTGTTAAAGGAGATCGACGATTACATCGATAATGGGATCGAAACGCCGGAAGCTATGCGCGAAGTCGTCGACAGTCAACCTGGAAAAGAACTGTGCCCCTTCTTTACAAAGACCGCCGCTTGCAGGTAAGCGAACCGTCGGATACGCTGACTTCCATTATAGTCGAAGACTCAAGATAACTTGAAAAAAATATTCATTTCCAGATACGGCGACACATGCTCAAGAAATCATAGAAGAGTATGCCTGAGCAAGGTGATATTGATACCTGGATTTTACACGCATTTCTCATTGGAAAAGAATTCCGCGGAGTACGACACGGATGTAGCCCTCGAGTTCGAGAGCTGGGAAACGCGGGAACATTTTCGTGAATTTTACAAAGACGTTGTACCGGAGTTAGAGTCCTTCGGGAGGATAAAGACTCTTAAGTACTGCTGTAACACGGAAGTCCATCTAAGGGGGAATCTGTACGTCGAATACTATACCGAAAGAGAAGCAGCCAGGGCGCTAAGAAAGCTGAAAGGTCGTTGGTATGCCGGTCGGCAGCTTAATTGTGAATTTGCCAATCTGAAATCCTGGAGGAGCGCTGTCTGCGGTATGGCAAAATGCCCGAAAGGGAGAGCGTGCAATTTTCTGCATACCTTTCGAAATCCGCACGACGAGTACGATATTAAAAGCCCGCCTAGGTGGGCAAAGACGTCGGTCTCGTCTTCTCAGGAAGCTACCAGCAGGAGAGGAACCGAACACAGGTATGTACATAAATAGTCGCGGTTTCGGGCTACAATCTGTCATCGACTTATTTTCGACGCCGGTGGGTGTCAATCGCTATTTACTTTTCGACTTTCTAGAAATAAATCGAAATGGGAGGATGGTAGTGACGCGGATGACGGCAAGAACTGGAGATGGTCCGAGTCGCCCGAGCCCGAATCGGAGCAATACTCGCAGAACACGGAGAGGTGCCATCGTCGGAACGATGAATCGACGCATCGACAAAAATCGGCACGCGATAAACGTCGGTCTCGACCTGATAGAAATAAAATCACCGATAACGATGAAACGCCGACGAAACGGCGCAGATCAAGTTCTAAAAAGCATTTCGAAGAAAGTACCAAAGACGAGGATATGTCGAATGGCCGCGAGTCGTCCAGAAGATACTGGAGGAAACACGAAAGAAAGAGAGGGGACTACGACGACGAACACGATGAATCAAGATCGCCAAGGTATTATCGCAATAGATACTCAAAGAGCGGAAATGAAAGTCACCATTCGAAAATTCATAGATGTTTGAGTAAATACATGCGACAAGAGAAGAGGGAGCGTGAGAAAGATAAGCGCAGATCGAGGATTCGTCGGAGCTCTTTCGAAAACTCGTCCAGACGAAAGGCTAAGACGAATTCTGAAACGGTGGATGTCGACAGAACAAACCAAACCAAAGATATACCACGTTTAAAGTCTAAATGGGATAGAGATCATGATTACTCCGATAGCTCAGAGTTCTCCGACTCCGATTCATCGAGTAGCGTCGAGGGAGAAAATACTGACAAGTCTGGAGCGTCGAAAGAGCCGTGTAAACGCAACTCCGGCGACGAACGGGTGACGACGGATTCAGAAAGCGAAACAAAAGTAAATGAAAATTAAAAGAACCTGTACCATGAGATTATCAAGACTCGTTATGTACGAACAGTTCTGTAATGAGATTATTTCAGTCAGGCGAATACTTTTTCATACCGAAGTGCATTTAACAATAAAATGTTTTATATATCCACGGAATTTTATTACACGCGTCTTGCGCGTTTATCATTGATTCAACGATCGATTATTTGTGAACTCTAGATCTGTTAACAGTGTGTACAAACTAGTTGAAAGTACGACGCAGCGATTAAGTTGATGCAATGCGTTTCAACGATAAACATTATCTTTCAATCACTTATATCTGTGCTTACTATTTGATATTTTTGATAGATCGATTGCGTACACTTCATCGCGATTAAACTTCCAATTACTCGCTGTAGCTTATCAGATAAATTTTGATTTTTAATTTTCATCGATTCTTAGTGGGGGCTGCCGGGTATCTGATCCGCGGGTATTAAGGCCACCGTCGATGAGATTTTAAGGAGCAGTGTTCCATGAATTAGTGTCGCGGTAAGCTGAGTCTCGAAATTGGCTAATTAATTGTTTAATTCTGTCAACGTTCGCCATGATCCTTTTAAGTATTTTGTGGACCTTGTGTCTAATGTGTGGTCTCAGTGATGCCATTGGTTTTCGAGGATTTCATTTCGAAGGTTTAGAAGAGCCAGACATTACAAACCGTATCACTGCCCAAAGTATAAACGAACGCTGGATCGAGCAGCCACTCGATCACTTCAATCCTCGAGACAATCGGACTTGGTCAATGGTATGCGAATTGCAGTAACGAGTAATAACAAACGGCTAACAACGACTTTGAGGCTGAAACGCGTTTCCGTTTTATTCCAACAGCGCTATTATGAAAATTCTGCCCTGTTTAAAAAGGGTGGTCCGATTTTCATCATGATCGGAGGAGAGTGGGAAATATCTACGGGTTATTTAGGTGCTGGTTTGATGTATGACACTGCTCTTGCCCACAACGCTATGTTGTATTACACCGAGCATCGTTACTACGGCAAAAGTCATCCAACCGCGTAAGAAACGTATTTCCGATCTCCCAGATGTATTCCACCGGGATGTTAATAATGTTTGCGTTAGCTATTTAATCTGGTAACATGAAAATATTTTAGAGATCTCACTTCAAAGAATCTGCAGTACCTGAGCGTGGATCAGGCGTTAGCGGATTTAGCATACTTTATAGAGACTAAGAAAAAGGAGGAAGGATTGGAAGATAGCGCCGTTATCGTTTTCGGAGGATCTTACGCAGGAAATATGGCAGCTTGGTCGAGACTCAAGTACCCTCATCTAATTCAAGTATTTCTTTTGTCGTTCTTCTTTTCTCTTAACCCTTCTACTACTGCAGAATTCTGCGCCGACGCGAGATTCTAAGGTGTACCGAAACCAAAACACTGAATTGAACTAAATTAAACCAATCTGAAATGATCACGTTTATATGATATATAAATGGAAGATGTAATTGTTGAGTTAGAATTTGCTTACATCTGATCTAAGCGAGCTTTGCTGCATCTATTGCTAACCCATTGCCGCAAACGACGGCTATAGGCGTCCATTGTAGTTTATTCCTCAGTAATACATTGAACAAAAATGATGTAACAGTCTAGATAACATGTACGTTGATTTTGTGCACGGTTTTTCATGGCCAGAACAAGTCAAAACAAACAATTAAAAAGGAATTGCGTTTCCGGGCACGATTTTAAAACTAAAAGTATGCGGCAATGGGTTAATAACATTTTACGAGCGCTTATGGGCGCTAACTGTACACCGAAACCAAATTTTTAACCCATGGGTGCCAATAGTAGCCAAGGGGTTAATATAAATCGTCGCCATAGCGAAAATATCATCGATCTTTCTTTCAGGGCGCATTGGCTAGCAGCGCTCCGGTATTCGCAAAAGCCGACTTTTACGGTAAGAGACGACATCATCCACGTTTCGTTAAACTTTCATGGTACGTTTAAAGGAAAAAGTTGGTTACGTTTTGCAGAGTATTACGAAGTTGTGGCCGAATCGCTGCGTAGACACAGTCAGCAATGCGCGGACGATATTAAAGCCGCGTTCGACGCGGTTGAAGAACTGTTAGCAGCTGAACACGGCCCGGAGAAATTGAAGTCCTACTTTAAGTAATTTCCGTTTCTTCGACTTTACATAACACGGTCATATAACGTTGTTAATATTGTTTGCATAAAAATGTTTAGCTTGTGCGACTTACCAAACGTGAATTCTACCAACGACCTTGGACTATTGATGAATACTTTGGCGGAGGTACGGCTCTCTCGAGCATAAAATTACGTCGCAGTATCATCCGTTACATCAAAAAACGAAGAAAAGAAAAATTAGAAATTTCCCGGAACCTTTCTGTTATGTAACGCTCTCAATTTAATTCCTTTCTTCTTCGCCAGACGTTCGCGGGCATCGTTCAGTACGATTCTGTGGTGAATGGACAAACAAAAATCGCTGCTTGCTGCGAAATTATGACTGCACCCTATCTAGGCAGCCCTCTTCAGAGATTAGCTCATCTGGTAGAAGGCGATGATTGTTTATCGAGCGATTACAACGAATTCGTCAGGGAATACACTAAGGAATCTTGGGAAGCGCAACCTAATATCAGTACGCTGTGAAATCAGTATCGTTTCTTATATTCTTACATTGAATATTTCGTTCTAATTGCAATATTTTCAGTGAGACAATGGCAGTACCAGACGTGCACCGAATACGGTTATTATCAGACAACTAGCTCAAAGAAATCCATTTTCGGTTCGCTGTTCCCATTGAGCTTCTTCACGGACATGTGTACCGATCTATACGGCAATCAGTACGTACCATTAAACATGATTTACAGGAAGTCACGTTTGCCATGGTTTCATCGTTTTACGGTGCCGTTTCTTTTTCGTTATAGTTTCGATAGCGATTTCTTGAACACGAGAGTAAGGCGAACGAATTTAATGTACGGAGGACTGCGGCCCGATTTACGAAACGTAATTTTCACCAACGGAGACATCGACCCGTGGCATGCCCTGTCAGTTCTTAAAGATTTGAATCGATTCTCGCCTTCTATATTGATCAATGGTAAGAGACGTTACTGGAGAAGATAGTAAAATACATTCTGGGATTCGTCGCTTAATCAACGATCCTTCGTGGCTTGTAGGTTCGTCGCATTGTAGCGATCTGAAGGAGAACAAAAGCACCGACGTGCCAGACCTTGTCCAGGCAAGAGCAAGAGTGCAAGCAATCATCGGCAGCTGGATCAAGTTCTAATCTTTCGCGTTAATTCGCCGTCGAAAGAAGGAAAGAGTGAGATGGATGTAAAAAACTGTGCATTTATTCTCTATTTACAACCGATCGAGTGCTACAATATAATTTTGGTGTAACTTATAAACATTAGCTTACTCGTAAACCTAATTTACCTCTACGATTTGCTCCAAACAGGGCTTAATTAAGAATTAACAATTTGTCGAGCGCGCTGATAAGCAATTGCGTCGACCGAGATCGTACATTCAACATTGTATAAATGCTTGAAATAGAAATCCCCCAGACAAAGTAAATACGATTAACACGGTCATGGTAGTGTTTCTTATCGATAGATTCCTTCCATCAGTCCACTTCGAGCTTTCTGAAGGAGCCAGTGATGCCGTACATGGTGGAATCGCTGGAGCTGATGTCCATGCACCCGAAGCCTTGCTTCAAAGCTGACACTGCACCTTCTCGAGCCTTTTCAGAGTACAACTCCAACCGTACTCTCATCTTGTCGTGACTCAACAGCGTCGGTCTCATGTCAAGCAGCTCTTTCCTCCAAAGAGCTGCAAGAACATTCGAGTCACGAAAAAGTTCAGCGGAAGCGAGGACACGACAGATACTAATATAACAGGTTAAAACGGCAATGAAAATATAACGTGTACATTGAACATTTCAGTTACCGATCATCTCTTTCATTGGCATGGTGCCACCATATTCTTTCGGCAGCAAGCTGGTATCCATTTTCTGATTAACGGCCTCTTCGAGGCTGGTGTAAATTTTAACCCGTTTGCGGATCTTATCGGAGATCAATGTCAGACCAAAGTCAAGAGCAAATTTCACAGAGGGATGCGTATTAATGGCGTGGACCTCTTTGTGTCGCATCGGTATAGTTCGCTGAAAGAAATATCGCCGGATATAAATCAACGCTCGTTGTTTCTAAGAACTCGTAAACTCGGTCGTTTATCTCAGCTTCAAATGCGTGTCAAACGTCGCGTGAACGTTTACCCGTTCACAGGAAGTCACGTTACGTTAGAAAGTGAATTCACGGTCGTCGTCCGAATGTGGACATTCGGGAAAAGTGGAACGCACCGGCTAAAAAAACCGGTTATAATGCCCCCTCGTTTTTTTCGAGCGAGTTACGAAACGAACGCTCGCCCGTTGCATCATTGTCCTTGAATTGGAAATGTCTCGCAGCATCCGGCTATTGGGATTGGGCGCTTTCGCGGGCCAAAATCATTTCCCGTTAAAGCCGCTCGGAAATAGGGGAAAGAGGGGGAACGGGGCCGGGTTAAGTCGTACCTCGCCGTTCTTGACGATACGAACAGCCTCTTTCGGAGTGAAAAGCGTCAGGTGCGGGAAACTGACGCCGGCTCCGTCGGCGAAATGAACGAAGCCCCGCACTTGACTTTCCTCGTCCTCCATCAACGTCTCGTAAGTGATTGCATGAATTCTGCACATGTCGGCGTTCGTGTACTTGTGGGGATCGAATACACCTGCGGAAATGATATTTGAACGTTTCGACAAATGAATTTCCGCCGTAGAGAACGACGTTCGCCGCAAATATTCCCGTCCAAAGGCGAACGCTGGAGCAAGAAACGGAAACCGCGAAACGGTATGCAATATCGCATGCGCGTTTCTGGAATCGGCTCGAGCCGAAAGCTATCATTAGGCGTAGCGCGTGAACGTCGACCGGCGACCGGTGCGAGGAGATTAACGTTTACCTGGTCTAGCGATTACAACGCGTCGGCCTTTCGCGTCGCGGCCAGGTGCAGCGAACAGGTACCTGAAAGAACAGAACCAAAAACGGATCAAGCCGTGCCGCGATATCCGTGGACTACAGTTCTCCAAAATCTTACCCCAAAGACAGAAGTTCCTCCATCGTTTGTTCCGTGGCGTCCAAATGATTGAAAGCCGGATGATACACTTGCCGAAGCAGCAGGTATCTCTCGATAGCTTCTTCCGCCATTGGTACGTTGAACTTTTTGCATCTCAGAAACCTTAATACGAATTGCGCATCTAACGATAAAGAAATAGTACGCAGATCGGTTAGAAACGAGATACCTTTCTAACGCGGGACATCGATCGCGTGGTACGGCGCGAAGCGCAATCAATTCTCCCTGTAAAGATAAACGTGATTCTCTCACCAAGACGGCTGTTTTCGATTCGCGGATTCATTTTGATCCAATTACGTATCTGCTCGAGGGCTTGGTCCCGGGTATTCTTGTCCTCTCTGAGCTCATCCTTCGCCATTTGCTGTGTTTCTTGCGAAAGAGGGCATTCGTAGTTGTCTTCTTCGGTTACCCACTCTATCGCTCCCATTTTGGTCGGCTGTTGCTCGGCTCGGGGTATAAGCGACAAACGAGTTGAAATTTCGGCGATTCGAGCGGCTAGCGATTGGCTGAAATTCTATAAAAGAGTCGAATTTAAATGATCAACGACTCGATTGTCGATCGTAACTAGATGCATCCTTACGGCCGCTCTTTGGGCTTTTAAGATATTCTACGCATGCGACAGAACGAAGTCAGGAAACTGGGTGAAATTCGTTTCCTCGTCTTCTGAGTAGTCGGCCAGCTGCGGCTCTCCTTTAACCACTTCGAGCCACTGACACGGTTCCCTCGGCAACGTTCGTAGCCACACCATGGATGAAAGTGATTACCGCGATGCGAGCAGACACGCTTGACGCGCTCGCACGCTTACTTTCTTCCCTACCCGTAACGAACGATCGCGTAGTTTTGTAATTCCCATAGCTATCGCTGACTCGCCGGTGATTTTGTGACATAACGATTTCGTCGGTTCATGATATAATGTTCGACCGGGTACGAACGCCGGAGAGCATTACGTGTACCACGATACAAGCGTATGCTGTAAGCGAGTCCCCGTTTCGCAACAACTTTCTCCGATTACGCAATCGTCTGGGTTCTGCACCCATCTTTGTTCTCCAATTTTGTATGGCCAGCTAACACGGATCGATCATGTTTCTCCTTCGTCCCATTAAACAACGTACTTGGAATGCGCATTTCCCTACCCGCCGACCAATTCGAGCCAATTCAATCTCGCGAGATGAAGGAATTCTTGTGAAATCGTATAATGACGCGTGCATCTCCCAGCGGGTTGCTAACAACTAACGAAACGTGACCATTAGGTTTTCAGCTAAGAAGTATTTGAAAGAACCGGAAGAATTACACTTCGCACTTGGTTAAATCGCGTTACGATTAAATACTATGTTACGTTCATTTTTATATAAAGTTGATACAATGAAAACCAGAGATATTGGAAAGAAAAACGTACCGCTCTTAAGCAGAAAGAATTTTATCGCGAGGCCACCTCGTCAACTTAGTCAAGGGCTCTCGAGTCCGTTGCTCTATAAGCGTTGCATACAAAGTCATACGTTTCAAGAACGAGCCGCCGTTGGTCCACAGAATAGTAGACGAGCGTGCTTGCCGTTGTAACAAGCTTTCGCTATCGTAAAACCGAATCGTTTCTATTACCTTAATCGCGATGCAGTTCATAAGAAAGTGGCGCGTTTTACGAGTAAAACGCTTCACGTGACACTTTTCTCGAATGAACGTAATTCTAATCGGGTTACCGGGCATCCGGGCAACGTGGGCAATCGGGCAATCGAGTAATCGGGAAGGTAAACGCCACAACTGTCTTCCGCATAGAAAGTGCTGCTTATGAGATTATTACTCTTCAAGTTCTTTCTTTGACATGAATCGCCGTTCACCCCGCAAACAACGTTTTCTTCGTATCGGTGGACGTAACAGCGTGATCGAGTCGTTAGAATTTTCGCCGTATCCCTTCTTCGAAATTCCACATTTGCTTTTCATTCAATTATGCAGAGGCACATAGATTTTAAGGAAAATATTGGTACAAGATTAGAAGCGACCCTGTACCGTGCAAATAAAGTCGGCCATCCGAGAAACATTACATATTTGCGAATGTCTTAAAAATGTGTTACGTTATACGCCGTTAAGAGTCAGACAAATAGTATTGTGTGAATTGCTAATGCTCATGGAGCGTTGATGTTTACCGTTGATACCCTATAGTTTTATTTTCCGGAAACTTTGAATTTCAATGCGCCGAGTAACCTCTGGAAACATATATTTTTTCGTTCCTCTTTACTGATTTTACAAGATAGACGGATTTTAAAATGGCGATCTTGTTTCACACTCTTGACCTCTAAGATTTTCGACCTTTGAAGACAAGGCCGCCGCAGACAGTTTGTATTTAATATTCTCATCGCGTCAATTCGATAAATATCATCGACGATCATGATCGGAATACATCGAACTGCAATTAAATCCTACTGCAACCTTGAAGTCGAAACCCATTTTCCTGTTTTCAGATGTTTCTCGCCGCAAACTGTCGATCTTCTTCTGATTGCAAAATACTCGAAATGAAATTCGTGGGAATTATGTTTAAGTGAAGTTGAGAAAGAATTAAGTAATGATAATTCAACTGATAGGATGTAAACTATTTTTGTAATTGTCTTCCAGATCGAAGGATGTAGCAATGATATTAATGAATAATACTTAAAAGATAATATCGCCATCAACTATGAAGCACTTTTTGCTATTTCTTTTCAATCTTGTTCGACGGTGTTATCCTTGAAAGTGAACTTTTCTTTCGAATAAAAATGATGGTGCAAAGTTCGAAACGAGTTTCTGGAAATATTATAGAGCAAAGAATTGACATACCAGGATCGCTGTCGCACAGGTGAACACTTGGAGGAGACTGTCTCCTCTTGACCGTCGATCGCTCTTTTATAATTTCCACTCGCACCTTTCTTCTAGCTCCACCTCCGGTGTTCTCGCGGTCGAGTAACTTGCTAGAATCGGGCACCCTCCGAGGGTCAATTTCTTTCGTCGTTACCAAACTCTTGTTACTATAATTCAGATGTTTTGATATGCGTAGAAACTCCTGTGCGACCTGACAGCTTGTTGTAACTAGAAAAATGAGTCGATTTACCTAATTGGCTGTCCTTTATATATGCCCGATGGTTATCATTTCTCGTTCATTTTTGGTTAATTTCGCAACCACTTTTTTCAACGAAGCAGTTTCTTATGAAACTTTTCAAATTACTTTTTGCATCCGCCTTCATGGATTATTGTTGAAATGTTTAGTACAAATAACATTAACTCCTTCTCAGAATAATGGAATAGATCGATTAAAGAGTTTCTTTTTTGTTAGATTTAATTGAAAATTTACTCTTCTTATTCTTGTTCTTTATTGTTTCTTTGAGAATAGGTTTCGAGCACACGAAAACAATTCGTTGGACAAAAAATTAACCCTTCCCGGACGGACGTTGACCTTTTAGCGAGATTAATATTTGGAATATTAAGTTTTAAACAAATAATTTAACACTAGATTTACGGAACGAGTCAATTTGACTCATATTGAATTTTGTAAGCATTATTTGGTAAATGTTTGGGTCGATTTTTATTAACGCAGTTATGCGAATATATATCCTAATTGTCTACTCTTAAACCTCTAATTTCTAAGATCTAAATGAACGGATAAAAATTTGTCTAAGAACAATAGAACAAACTGTACAGTGAATGTCAGTAAATCTAGTGTTAATCAGTTGAATAGCAAGAGATCAGTGTATAGTTTCCTTTTCTCTGTTGTTTAAGCATTCGATGTATAATTTAGCATCATATGTTGCCAGCTTTGTGTACTTTAAAGAGTCTTCGTCCGCAAAGGGTTAATAAATACGATCGCAATCAACGATTACAGAGCGACGCACATGCTTATCGTTTTGCATAACGGTAGCAATCATACTAGCATAAGTCTACGTAATCCTCGGTGAGGTACTATTTTCTTACGAAGCTTTGACACGCAATACTGCCCGAACAGTTACAATCAGAAAGTGAAATGCGACTATACCCACCAGAATGTTTCGAGTAAGGATGGAGAAATTGCGTGTGTGAAAGGATTTTGACGAAGACTGTAGATACGCTACGCGTGTAAGAAGACGTAAAATATGAAACGAATGATTCACCTTCATTATAATAATTAAAAATGACAGTGTTTTGAATTTATTTTATTTCCTGCAGTATTACAATTTTATGGAAGTACATCACACTCTCGAACGCGAGATGTTAAACTCACTCGAAGTACAAAAATAATTCTATCTTTCGATTGCATTTATCGATGATAGTTGAATCGTGAATGAGATTTAAAAATATATACGAATGATATAATATATATAAACGATAATACCACACTTTCCATGAAAACCATTGTATATCAGCAAAAACATGTAAATATATAAATATGACGTATAACAATTTACTTGAATACAGTTAACAGAAAAAGTTATTGTCAATTTTAATATGACAAAAGACGTTGAACATATTTCAGTTTTGATAATCACATAAAGGTTTGTATTTAGTTCGATAGTAAGGAATAGAAAAAATTATATCTACCAAGTCTCATTTTTCAGTTAGTTCTGGCATTGAAGATTTATATTTCAGTCTTTAACGTCTCACTGCATTCAGGAACATTGTTTTAACAAAATTCACTTTCCGTGAACTTATTCTCTACCGATAACTTGAACTTTAGCGTACGCTCCCTTACACCCGCTACCCGATAACAATAAACTTTGTAGAACTTCATTAATCTGACTTTCAGAAAGCTTTAAATTACTGTATGCTGCTTCATCTCTTATACACATCTTCAGTGCCTCCTCGTTCATTGGTGCGTAAGGAATAACAGATATATCAATCATTTTGTCAGCGGATACCTGACTGATTTGAGCTGAACTTTTCAATAAATCTATATCACGAGTCAACTGCTCATTTATATTTTCTACATTAAAAATGGCAAACACCGTAATGCATTTGTCGTTCGCCCCTTTTAACGTATCTAATATACTGAGAAATATATCAAAATCTTTCATCTTTAAATTCTCTATGATCAACAGTTCATAAGAACGAAATGAATTCAATATTTTTTCATCAAGATCATGGCCTAATGTCACATCATGTACATAAACCTTTTTTTCTAATGGAAAATTTTTTATTATAATTTCAGCAGTATAAGATTTTCCAATGCCTGTTCCACCTATGAGACATATCACTTTTAAGTGTTCAATGTCGTTTTGTAATGCAGAAGCAATATTTTTGATTGTATTTTCCTGTCCATATAATTTTTCTTGTAATTCAAGGGTGGCAGTTGAAAATAGAATAGCACGGTTACAAACTGTATATGTAATGGGATTTAAAAACAATGCAATTATTGCCACTACAATTGGGAGAGCGCATAAACATATTAAATTGCAGCAACATGAATTCATTTTTTTCTTTACTGGATCTTTCGCCTTAGGTGTAACTAATGGTCGTAGTTTCTTCTTCACATCTTGATAAGAATTTGTATTCTTAATTTCTGTTGCGTCAGCTTTTCTATTTTCTGTTGCATCAGATTTTCTATTTTCTGGTGGCAGATGCTTCAATGTGTCTTTTGTTGTAATATTTATTGGTGGGTCGTTAGATAAGGACACAGATTCTTTTGAAATGTCCATATGTTCAATTTCCATATATTCTATATTGTTTGATGCATGGTTTGACGCTTGCATTACCTTACTATTACTACAAAACTGCCACTCAGGAGTGTTGCACGCATCAGAATAAGTTATCACAGATTGCCACTCTTTCTTACATTTGTTGTTTTCAGATGACATTAATCCTGACAACTTCAACTGCCTAAAATCAAAATACAATTTTATGCATAAGAAGTACATATCCTTCATAAATCCCTGCATATTTAATAGAAACATTAAAATTTTACCTTGCTTTTGCAGTTTGATCAAAAATTTGTTCACAACTGTACTGTCTAACCAAGCCAAGTGAATTTCCAGAATGATAAGTTTGTGCTAAGCATACTCGTTGAGACGATGGTAATTCGGAATAACTAAAAGCTCTAGTCAACTTATTATCGTTGTCCGAATCTAATAATCTTAACGATGCAAAATGTTCTTCCATAATTTGAAATTGTACAATTCGATACGTTCATTGAAATCATACCCGGTTAATAAAACATAACCTCAAACATTCCTCAAAAGTTTGTTCTCTTTTTTTCTTGCCTTAAAATATTATATTTTTAATGAAACATGGACACAATATTTATTTTCAAATTAATATTCGAAACTTTTAACACAATGGACTTTAGTTTCTGTTACGAATTTTACAGTTCGAATTTCCGTTAAAATTTTAAACACAGCACTACATACAAAATGGGGAAACCTTGCATCTTTGTTATTAGATCTAAACACATAAAATAGTATTAAAAAATATATCCAAAGATAGAAACACGAGAATATCGATAATATATAAGAAGTAAATGAATATATAGAATTATATTAACATGACATAGCAATAAACTATAATGTTCAATTTTAGACGTCTATTCTTTCAAAAGTATTTTTAAGGAAATTAATATCGTCTGTTATCTCGAACCTGTCTATAAGTTCGACAAGGTTGCAACGATAAAACCAATAATTGCTAAGAGATATTTAAAAAGTTGCGCGCAGTTCAATTCGTTCGTTTCGGTGATCACGGTCCAAGTTCCCGTGGTTCAAGCTCAGTTTCTGCTCGCGTATCGACGAGCGAACATTGGACGTTTTGGATGCGTGGTTATTTTGTGTTTTCGTAATGTGACATTTCTCCAGTGAAATCAAGCAAAAATGCAATCGAAACAACTACTGATACAATGCGTCTGGATTGCATCGGTGCTCGTACTGGCCGCCGCAAGGATACACAAACTCGAAATACGGGTTAGTTCGATGAGTAATCTCGTGAAACAACGCACGTATATTTACCAATTATTTGCCCATGATTCGTTTACTGCATCGGTTACCTTTCACCGGTTAATCGAATTAATGTAAACAACGGTGATCGTGTCGTACGAACTATTTGTTCGTCATTCCGTAGGGTTCGGCTCTTTAAAATTCCAGTAAACGAATTTTCCGAACGAGCGTTACTGTAGTACGGTATTGACGTTCACCTTCTGTGAACTAGGTTCGCTCAAATGAAACTGGAAGCATCGCGAATCCATGCGAAACGTTCCCACAAGGGACCCGACCGACGAAAAGGACGTACGGCGTATAGGTTATAGTTGGAATCGTGCTTCCAGTTTTCCTTTCTGGTCGCTTAGTCATAGGTTACGGTATCACGTCACCCTCGTTCTTACGCTTACGATGGTTTTTCATGTTACAGAAAGACACGAGACGTTACATAGCCCTTAGCACCTTTGGCTTTTATAAGGGTGGTATGCTCGATGTAAATCTAACGAATTTCAAGGCTGAGCCCCTCGACGAGAATGCCGTGGTGAGTTATCGTAGCGTGGACGTTCGCGCAATACTACGCGTCGTTCCATCCATTCACAGACACCTGTTTCCATTTTCTCTCATTCACGCCGCTGAATTGCCGCTAGGAAACCACTCGGGACAATTCTCAAACGAATGGATTTCTCTACAGAAATCATACGAAACATTTTTCTTTGTGCACATTTATTTGTACACTCAATGGTTAAGCGAAAGGAACGAAAACACGAGAAATGTATACAACACAAGCCTATCATCAACTTTCATAAACACTTGGGTAGCTTACATACGAGAGATGTCTGTACGTTTAAAGTCTTTAGAAAAAAGAACAAATTTAACGTGGTATTTAATTAGCTCTATTTAGTTAGATTTGTTGATTGAATTATGATAATTATAATTATATTATAATTTAACCCTTAACCGCCTTTCTTACAATATTCGCTTATAAGACGTTGTATCACGGTAAATATTTTTTGGCAGTGTATGATCAACAAACCAATGATGTAATATGTTGCAATATTTGATAAAACTACAGCGATGATAAATCAATGATATGAAAGTTAAATTCTTTTCATGTCCAGGAATTGATGCCTTTCGGCCGTTAAGGGTTAAATTGAATATTCAATTATGGGATTTCTTCGTTCAGTGAAAGCTGAACGCGGTAAATTTGAAGCTGTAAGAGGGAACAATTTTCCGCAGTTTAACGGTAAAGATTCCGTTGACAACGAGCAATTGACTAATACTAGTCGACCATTTGTTATCAACCGAATGGCACTCCTGTTTTTCTTTCTTTTCCGTTTAATCTCACGATCGTTGAAAAACTTGCCTTTCCTGTTTGTGTAATGCGTGTGCTTTGTATTTTTTTTTACGGTTCAGTTTGGATTCAGTTTGGATCGTACGCTAAGCGATGCGATGAATCCGTATTTAGATAGTCACCAAGAGAGATGCGTACTGCAAGATGCTACGAACGCGAAGACCGATCTCGAGCAGAGGGACGACAGCAGCGCGGTCGTATATTTCACGATGGACTTGAAAAACTCTTTGTAAGTGTTCACCAGAATCGAATCGACCACAATCGTACCGTATACTTTACTTTGTGTCGTTCAACGCGGAACCGATTACACAAATGTTAACTCGTTTCAGCTTGAAAGTTAACTGCAATCGGAACGTTCGCACCGTGCACATCTACAAGGATTCTGGTAGCGTGATCATTTTTCCACGAAGAAAACGGTACACCTCGCACGGTGAGTCAGAACCATTCGAAACGCTACTATTCTATTTTTTTTCTTTGCCCGCAATAATAATCATCCTTGAGGAAATATTGCGGTAACCAGCTCGCTGAACAAATTGCACTCCGTTGCGATTACGCCCGACGGACATTCGCGGTATTATAATTCTTCCTTTACATTAACACCGGGTGCTCGTATAACGCCTCGTTCTGCCATTTGTATAAATATTGATACAAATCCCCGGGCGTGTACAGGAGTTCCGAAGGGATTTGCATTTGAAAGTTATTTAATCGGAAGAACCGCATCGTCGTAAAAGATGAACGACACCGGGGCAGGGGCGAGGGTTTACGGGCGCGGGCGTAACGCGCTCTTAAATTTGGCAGCTGTCCAAAGACAGGAAGCTGACGCGCGGTAGACCGCGTGGAATGGGCAAAGGTTTAGCTCGCAACGCGTTCCAACTTCCGCAGTTTCGCCGATCGATTCTTATCAGTGAATCGCGTCGACGTCGTTGCAGAATTTTTTCGGCGTAATTAAGAATCAGCTTGATCGCTCGTCGCGTCGTCGGTCCGCCTAGTTTCGAACGCGGTTCGTTTCGATTAAGATTCCTGCGCACAGGTTCGTTTTTTTTTTATTCGATCGTCGACCCTTCACGGTTTTGGGAGGTTCTCGTAACGCTCGGCGACGGATAAACTCGGAACCGGGAACTGACCGTTGCACAGAAATGATTTGGACAGTACGTATGAACATTAAATATAAATATCGTCGCATCCGCAAGTTATTTTTGTCACGGATGCCTGCTAATATTAGAACTTGAATCGGTCGTGACATAGGCTAACAGGTGGACGATGAAAACTTGGCACGAGCTGCATCGATCACGACCTTAGGGTACGCTTACTAATGTTTCATCCGTGATGAAAATTTAACAGGACTGGCTGAAACGCGTTGCGTTTCTATTCGACGTCAACCGATCGGAACGAAGCGTTTCGAACTTCCCAATTAACGTTCGCGCGACATCGGTCACGGTTTTCCGTTCGCGCGTACACCATCTGCATTGAATCGAAGCCGCGCGGGGAACCTTGAATCATTTATCACCCGGAAGTATATCGATGTTACGATCGGGCAGCCGTTTTCGTTTCGATTTAGCTCACTTGCGTCGATCGTATGACATTTAATGCGCGTAATTGATTGTTCGATTCGTCGATGCGAAAAGAGAGGGTCGGGGCTGCGAGCCACATTATAAATCGCACAACGCGACTCGGGGAACACGCTAACAACAACAAGAGGAAAAACATGGTACACGGGAAGAGAGGAATATCGCGGATCGGCGAGCGTAGCGTACGTTCCAACGTACAAGGTACTATCGGCGAGCAGCGGGAAGTTTCGATGTCCAAATTTAAATACATGTTTATCGGAGCGTCGAACATATCGGCGATAGTGTTCACCATCGCCGCTGTTACTGCTACTGCTACCGCTGCCCGCCTCGTGGAACTAAATACGAGTGTGGTCGATATCTCACGGAATGTGGGGTCTCGAAGCGACATCGGTGATCGAACACCGCAGAGATGAGAGACGCTATAATTAACGTGACTCGTCCTCAATCTTATAAATAACTCGAAACTCAAGTATTTTTGAGGGTCCATCGGTTAGGTAACTGTCTTCTAGAGTAGTGCATTTTATGCCGATGATCTCTCGACTGGATTATGCGAGGCTTGCTCGCAATTAGATCGAATGCGATCCACTCGATCGCCTAATCCGTCCCGGAGACAAGGCGTCGAGGATTCAGATAAAGCGAGATTACTTCCGCAGGTGTCGAAAGGTCCGTTAACGAGGACGAATTCGAGTCGAGATCGGAAGCTAGCGGATGCTCGCACACGAAGCTACCGATGATCGTGCAAACCGTCAAAGGAGAGAAATATTACAATACCAGTTTCGCCGTGTACGTCGCGAGCGAGGAAGAGGAGGGTCTTTATAATCTGTACTTTCATAATTGTCCGAATTATAATTACGCGCAAGTCGCGCTGGACTTTACGGTAAGGCCGTTACTCGTATGCGATTCGCGACTTTGATCTGCTGTTTTCGAGAGGGCAATGAAACATTTACAGGTACAAATATCGGAGGCGAATAGCAAAAATTTCCTGAGCGCGGGCGAAATGCCATTGCCGGCTCTCTATTTCATGATGGCGCTCCTATTCTTCTTGTCGGGTTGCTTCTGGGTATTCATTCTTAAAAAGAGCAAGTAAGCGACTCGTTTCAGCGAGGGCTGTGCCAAACTGTACTCGCACAACCGTCCCAACTACGATATCCGTTTCTATTCCGAATCTTTCTTTGCCCAGGCATCCCGTCTTCAAGATTCACTACTTGATGGCTGTGCTGGTGTACTTGAAATCTTTGTCGTTGCTCTTCCATGGGATCAATTATCACTTCATTCAGACGAAAGGAGAACACGTGGCCGCGTGGGCGATTTTGTATTATATCACGCATTTACTGAAGGGTGCCGTACTTTTCATTACCATTGTCCTCGTCGGCACGGGGTGGACATTTATTAAACACATCCTAGCCGACAAGGATAAGAAACTTTTTATGATTGTGATACCGTTACAAGTGAGCACACCAATATAAGATTCGAGCACACATTCGACCGAAGGAACGAACTTTTACAACGAACTCTGACCCGACAGGTATTAGCGAACGTAGCAGAAATAATAATCGAGGAAAGCGAGGAGGGGGACATCGAGCACAAGACTTGGCGAGACGTTTTTATCCTCGTAGACTTGTTGTGCTGCGGTGCCATCTTATTCCCGGTAGTTTGGAGTATCAGGCACTTGCAGGAAGCTGCGCACACGGACGGCAAGGCAGCTGTGAACTTACGCAAGCTGATGCTTTTTAGGCATTTCTATATCATGATAGTTTGTTATATTTACTTCACACGAATCATAGTGTACTTACTCAAGGTATGTTCTTTTTGGTTTGTGGCCGTTGATTTACACTCGTTTCGCAGTCCTTTCGAAGGGCTAACGAACGCCGCTGCGCCAACGAATTTTCCAACCTTTTATTTCTAACAGATTACAGTACCTTTTCAATACGAGTGGCTGGACGAGATGTTCCGAGAAATGGCCACGTACGTCTTTTTCGTCCTTACCGGATATAAATTCCGACCAGCTTCCGCGAATCCGTATTTTACTTTGACGAACGACGAGACGATCCAGGCTGACGAGGACGACGAAATGGACGTCGTGTGAGTATTCGCCGCGCTTTTCTATTCCTTTCATCGCTGACTGTACCTAGTTATTAACCTCTTGCGCTGGAAATTAATTCAGAGATTTGGCTAAGTCTTGCGCGAACTATTCTCATTTTATCTATTTTACGTGGATGTGTACTCTGTTTATACATAATTTTGTGTAGAGTGATACATTTCAAAACAATCCAGTATGCGTAATGCAGCTAGACTATCGCTGTGTGTAAGACGTCATTGGCAATTTTAGAACAAAAATATCTCCACGTGCGCGGCACGTCTTTCTAGCGCAAGAGGCTTTTAGATACTTATACGCGTAGCCTTCCCGCACTCTTCCCAAATTATTATTTCAGCGTATGCGTTCTTAGTGTAACTTATCCAGTTCTAATGTGACGATCTCAGTCTCTTTTCCAGTGTTTCCGGAGGCAGCGGTATAACCGAGGGTCTCAGCAAAGTTAGCAAAGTTCCGAAAGTCTTGAGGCCCACGTCTTCGGATGTTCCTTCCACGCAAGAAGAGAGGGAGTGTTTGTTCAATAAGACCGAGCCATCTCACGAGTACGACTGAGCTGGACAAAAATTCTTCGCAGTATACCTATTTCAATATGGAAAGCGAGGGACTCGTTTTCCCGTCTCAAGATATTCGGAAACAGTGCTGGCGACCGAAACATCTGACGCGAAGAGTGTCTGGAAACGATCGAACGAGGAGGGGAATGCGCGGTTAAAGATCTATCTTCTATTTTCTCGAGAATGCGGAAACAGAAGCAGACCCGACATTTTATTTCTCTTACATTTTCTGTTTTTATCGACCCTCAAATTGATTCAGATTTAGATGTTTTTCAGTGAACCCAGTTTCGTATTTAATTCCGTCGAAGACGCTCTGTTGTTCGCCGTTTTGTACAGAAATTTCAACATCTTGGCTATTTATCTATTTCTTTTCTCTCTCTCTCTCTCTCTCTCTCTCTCTCTCTCTCTCTCTCTTCCTCCTCCTTTTTTTCTCCATTTTCGGTTCCATTCTAGAATGTATCACGATTTTAACTTGCGGCGCACCACGTTAACAATATGCCACTCTCTTCTCAAGACGTAATTAATCATGGACTTTAAAGTTGAGTGTAATCTGTATTTATTGGTAGAAAATTGTAATAGATGTCGAAGAAAAGTAATCTAGGAAATGGTTCAAGGGTTCTTACGTTCCGAGAAACACGCCGTTTCGCGTTTTCAGGTTTAGAGTCGAGCGTTGATGCAAGTCCAACGAGAGGAAAAGTTCCACGTTTTGATACGCATCTTGGCTGTAGTTGATTTACCTTAGGCATTTAGCAAAGCGATAAAGCATTTCTATTTGTTTTTTTTTCCTTTTCCTCCCCATGACACGCTCATTTTCGTTGAACCGGAGAGCCCGCTTTGCGGCGCTTTAGTAATTTTGTGATAAACGGTACGCCGAGACCGGCGTACCGTAATCCACTTTTGTAAAGCACTCCTTCAGTCTTTTACGTAGGAATAATTATGGCGTCGAAAGAGACAAGTAAGAAAGGTAATAAGTTTCTAAGCGTTTCACGTGTCCCATTACGTAACCTCTGTCTCTGGTTACAACCATTATTATTACTATTGTACACGCGTTATCGTAATTATTGTTACGTCTGTTACTATTAATATTTTATTGTATGGAATAAAAGGGACACCCTACAAAATCAAGTTAAAATAATAAAGCAGATATTTTTATGAAGCCTCTTGTTTCATTCCTTCGCGTCACCGTTGTTTAGTCTCGTCGTCGTCGTCGTCGTCATCGTCGCGACGCTTCGGTTCGACGAAGGTGATCGTCCTGTTTCTCGATCAAGGGGGAACGTGTAACGAGCAGGAAATTTTGGACGATACTACGCGAACCTGGGAATTTCATGGAAGTTATTGAATGGTCGCTAATACTCTGCACTATACTTTCCACCCTCAACCCCTCCTTTCAGAAAGCAGTATAGATATCTACGAACCAGCCATGGATACGTGAGCAACATTTTAAGAGTCACTGAATCGTGCTTTTCGATGAAACGAAGAAATCTATCCGCATTCTCCGTCTCCGAAGAGAATATACCATAGTCGAAAATCATTTGGTTTCGAAGGTCAACGCTGCAGAGCATTCCGTTTGTATTTTTACTTTCGGAACAATAGAGTAATCGTGGAAACAATTTTCATTTTATCTTTTTTTTTCTCACTCACTCTACCAGCAGGAATTACCTTCGCAGAGACACGTTGCAATTTTGATCGTACTCTATAGCGAAGTAAATGCATCTCTCATGGAAATTAACGGCTAACCGTCAACTGCAGACTCACATGTCGCCGCGTGATCGATACAGCATGGCGCTTGAACATCTATGTATCTGCTCTCTGCAGTCTAACACGCATGCGACGGGATCACTGCATTCACCGTGAATGTTGCATTCTGTTTACATGAGTCTTGCGTGGCGTCGTTCTAATGGTTCTCGGTTATCTGAGTAATTTCATAATTGAAATATGGTTTTTCAAGCTTCCGTTTATCCCACTTCCGTTCCATGAAATTCTGTAAATCGCATCGTGGTTGATTATGTTCGTCGTATTCGCGTGCGAAATATAAAACTCGAAATTATCTGCTCACGCGTGGTACCTGTGCGTTAAGGGTAATAACAACGAGAGCTTAGTTTCGCATTTTCGCGGTGTCTGTGCTTGGAAATTGAACTATGTTAATAAATTTCATAGGAATTTCGGTAGTATCAGTGCCACTAGTCTTTCTCTCCACTTCTATTGTCGATATTTCAGTAGGTCGGCACAGAAGCTGTCCGACCTGTTGCGTTGGATTCGCGTCATGACGAAAACAAGTTTCAATTTCAGCGGTTCCAGCGTTGTTCCGTTTTATTCACAAGTATTCCTCCGACCAGGGGGAATCTTAGATTTTTTAACACTAACAATACCGCGACCGGTCGATATCAAATTTGATTAAAAATTCCGCATTCTCCTTCGGCCATTTATCTTTATATCAGTTCTCGCATCGTCCGATTGATTAGATCTCTTATTCTTGTCTTTCTTGTTCTTTCTGTTTTCACTAAGAAAAATGTATCGCTTAGTCTGTTCTTTCGACGATTCGTTCGACGTCCGTTTTTCTAAATAATCTCGAGGGCAGAACGTACAATCTACTTTCGCATTCCATAATTCGATAACTCGATCTATTCCTATTCCACGGTTGTCCGATAAAAATATTTGAAAAAAAGCAAGCGAAAAGTTTCTGAACTCTCACGGAAGGGAGATCGGTTAAAAGTATACGACGATAGTATCCGCGACTATGGCCGGTGAATTAATGCTGCGCGGCGTGTCGGATAACTCTCTTTATGGTTCATGCGTTTATGAAGATAGCTGGCGGTGGTAAATCACAATCATTGGCGGGACAGGTAACGTCTAACCGTGCTTCTAACGAACGTGTTAAAACATGTAACCGGCGGCATAAAAAATGTACGTTCATTGGTTGTAACGGCGAGCAAACGCCAGCGAAGAGAAACGAAAGAAAAAAGTAAGAAGGGAAACGAAGAAAGAGATGGAATACCGATGAATTAATCAGTGTTTACGGGTAAACGATGAATCCATCAACGGTAATGTTTTAAACGGCAGAAGAAGATTTCGCCTTCGATTTCGAGAGTATGATTCCGCGTAAATGGTCTCGACGGGTAAAAGCTTCAGCCTCGACTCGGGGACGACTTAGCTTCGCATTAACAGGCCGGCATCGGATCGTAACCTACCTCACGGGGGATGGCGGCGGTGATGGTGGTAGTGTGGATAATAAATTGCTCGGCACAGACGTCCCGTGGGTAGGAATCGGGAAGATGCAGCGACGCTTGAATGATCTATACTTTCTAGGTACCGCAAAGCGCATTTAAACGAAGACGTTCGCATTCCTGAGCGTCGTTAACGGGTCTGCGAACGTTCGTGAGATAATTCCGATTATTATTACTCCTCTGCCCTTCGTTCCAGAAAGATTTTATATTGCCTGTCGTTCGAACCGATCCTATACTAATTTTCCTTTCGTTCCTAGAAGACGACACGCGTTCACCGTTGTACGCCTCACGCAACGTAGCAGAAGAATCCGACCGTCGCCGGCTTCGTTTAGTTTCTGCTCGCCTAAGGCGTGCGAAAGGCGTAGGAGTGCCAGAGTTTACGAGTCCAGGGATTTTCTCGAAGATACGAGGGGCCTAAATGAATGCTTTTATTACGCGTCGCTACGAGAATTCTTTTCCACGAAAATTCGTATGCGTACACGAGCATGATCACGAGCCCTCAAAATGAGAGTAAACGAACCGACGAATTCGTTGGTATACGGTAAAGGTGAATGCAAGGTCGCCGAGGACAATTGAAAAGGGCCGAATTTCGATTCGGAGAGCAATCGGTTTCCGAGTGTCTCTCAATTATTAGCTTTTTCCGTTGCATTCCATCGAACGTTTCCGTCCCGTGCCACGACGTATCCTGGAGCATGCGTCTCGCCGTCCTGGCGTCCCGGCGTCCCGGTGAGCCGGCGTCCGGCCGACGTGCCCACCGATTCGCCGCGAAATTCTTCAGTTGGCGTCGCGACGCGCATCAAACGTCTTTCCGCTCGTCTTCGCGTTGTCCCTCGTATCTTGCTCTCGAGACGGCGCGAAATCTACCTGAATATTTCCGATGTGATCTTCCCTTTCCACCCGTGTTTACGTTCGTTTGCGACGCAAGCTTTCGGTAACAAACGGTCGGAGATAAAGAAAACTGCTTCCGAAGGTGAGTACAATGTACATTAGACACCTCGAACTGCTCGCTGCCATCTGTTGCTAACGTCGACGCGTACACTGGAATTGTACCACTTTCGCGAGGAAATGTTCAGAGAGAGAGAAAGAAGCGAGGGGGAACGATCGACTGATTCCCGACTGGTTAACGATGCGATGATCGGTTTTTAGTATCAGTTTAACACCGTTGAAACTGCCCTGCAACGTCGTGTCGGACTCGTAGCGAAGATTTCAAATAGAACCTAGCAAGCATAAATGTCAGTTCTTCCAAGTACGAATTGAATATTATTCTTCTATAATTAATCGCAACGCTTCTGAGTAAATGTAGAGATAGAGTAACTGTACAATTTCCCTCTTTCTATAATGAATTGTGAACTTTGAAATATCTAAGTGCAGAATTTCTCTCTTTCGATAACGAATTACTAACGGTAAAATATCTCTACTGACCGCAATTCGTAATGAAACCATAGGGCAAAGGGTTAACCTTCGAAACAAATGCCGAACCTATGCACCTGAGCTGCGTGGCACGTTCGATTGACCTTTCGCAATCGCAAGCTCAGGTGTCCGTGTAGGATATTAAACGTATTTGCCGTCTAGAGCTTTAGTTCTCGAAATGTCTAGCTCGTATATGTGCTCCCATATCTTCCACAATGAACGGACGGAATTGTTTTCCCACGGTACAGTTATAATTCTCACATAAGTTCATTGTACACTGTAAATGGTCACCCTGTTACGAACTTTGTTACGAATATTCGAGTCATTCGTTCGTTTAGCATCAGCGCGATTCTTGTCCAAGGATTACACGAATTCAATCTACCGTTCTCCATTGTTCACCCGAAACACTCGCGTTACAGTCTCGATGGGAAAAACGTCGGCATTACTTTGAAGTTACCTCATTACTCGAACACATTGCGATTCCTGCGTCGGTTCCGCGACACGCGACACGTATCCCGCGGATCGTGCTTTTCATCCGTATGAGGAAAAAAAATTGGTCCGCGAGTAAATCGCGACATCGACTCGAGGACCCCGACTTCAGTCTCCCCGTTACCGGTGACGGGGAAACAACGTGATCCCGCGGCATTATTACCGATGCGTTCCGACTCCATTTGAAATCTATTCACGAGCCGCGTATCCGAGGAAAAAAACAGTGCGGGTGGTTCCCGTCGAACTTAAATTAAAAATGTTGCGAGCGCGACGTGACGCGAATAATCGAGCCAGATCGAATCGTCTGCGACTGATCGAACGCGAGAACGCGCTGTATCGCGGGCATCAGCGACACGACGGAAGTATTTACGATGGTGACGACGCGAAGGGAGGTTGACGCGTGGACCGCGAGTCGTCGAGGTATGAAACAAAATTTCGAGCCACGAAAAACTTTCGGCGAACTCGCGATAAGGGAACATCCGCTCGGTCAGCGTTCCCTGCGAAACGATTAACGATATACTTTCACGTCCCGAAGTGTTTCGAGTTTGACAGGAATATTACAATATTTGTTCAACGATTGCCGTTTATCTCACTGTTATTCAACGTTTCAACTTTTTCCTGGTTTCGAGTCGTATCGGCTTTCCTTTGGTATCTGGAATTTCGATAAACTAATTCCGTTGATCGCTGACACGTAGCCGGTTATCTAGGCGACGAATAAACTTCGCCGAGTTTATCTTTCAGATAGGAAAACACAAGGTGTGTCCGTCCGAGAAGTAAAAACAGTCCTCGCTCGCGAGATTTCGACTCTGAAAATACTTGTTCCGTGTCACGTTTTTGCAAACTCGCGTTCGAATTATTCGCCGCGCGGTATTCCTGCGGCAAATTCAGTTTGTCAGGATTTATCGCGAGATATTAACGCGGAGACATTTTCAAGCCTGGCACAACCTTGACACGGTGTCTTGGCAGGGACCTTGACATTTTTAAATAATTTCGTCTTGTACGAATGGTTTCATTTCATGAGGGAGCAACTCGAAGCGTCTAAAACAAATCGCTCGATCGCGGATCGTGGGACATTTCGGGCCATCGCATTGCCGTTCCGTCGCTCGTGTCGTTATGGAACATGGAAACTCGGGTCCTAGTAACTCCGTTAATTTTCTTTCGTCCGATTTCTCGGGGAGAATTCTCCGCGGTTGGTCCGATGTCTAATTCCGACTGTTCTCTTCCGAAGATCGGATTCAGATCCCTCGGATAGTTGCGCGGGATACACTTCGGAAACCAGTTCTCTTCTTTCCGGCGAGCGAATCCTCTTAATCAGAGTTCTATTTGGATCGTTGCGTTCGTCCTCCGATTTTTCCAGGAATATTCGACCGCCGAGATTTTCGTAGCGGTTTTTAAGGAAATGCTGGTGCAGCTCCCCTTTCCTTCCGTGATAAACACCCGTCCGCGTCGAGAGAACGCTACCAGCAAATGCGATTCAGCTTTTAAATGGGCGCGGAAGTCACCGATGCACAGTGTAGCTACTTATGGACAAAATTCCAAAATTCGATTATTCGTACAATGAAAATTGTAGCAATGTGTTGCTAAGTAGTCTCTACTGTACAAAACGACTTTTATTTGAAAAATAACAATTTTCTGCAAATAAATTCCGTTTCTCTATTAATACGTTGACCGCCACGGTAGTCACCGATGACAGGATCCAAATTGCTTGAAAACAATTGAAGAAAACCGATGCCCTATCAAAATATTTAGTTACGTAGATAGCTAAATAATAGTATAACTTAAAAAATATGATACCAAACCATTAACAATTAAATCTAATACCATTTGCTTTTGTTATGATACGATAAGTAATGCTATACGAATCGCTCTAATTTCTCATAGCGGTCAACGTGTCAATGTAACCATGGAATCGAAATGCAAAATATCCATTGTCATTGGGAAAACTTCATAACATCCTCATAACGTAAACAAAAATAGAACCACCGTACGCTTAATTACATAACTTCCAACTTTTGTCTGAAGCATTTCTTCGTATCACTCATTCTCTTTAAGTTACTGAGTTTTGTCCGGAATCATCTGAAATGTAATTAGCATCGAATTGTTTTTCGTGTTCGCCCGATCGCGTCCGAAACAACGCTGAAGGGAGAGGACAAAAAGAAGAAAGATCCACGAAAATTATTTTATACGGTTTCATATTAGCATTCAGAGTTCAGACGGAAATGTGGGTCCGAATCGCATTTTTTCCTTTTGTGCGTGAACGAAATTCTCGAGGGAAATGCCTGCGTAAAGGGTCAGCAAGTATTATCCGAAGGACATCTTGTGCGTTACACAGCAGCATTACCGGAAACTAACGACGTCGATCAAGGGACAAAACCGCCCCACCGTTTGATAACGTCCTCATAACGGAGGGTCATAAGGATAACCATTCGTTTCCCGCGCCTTTTTAATACCGCCGGCCTTGGTACAGTTGATTCGAGAAACTTCGTCGTACAAATCGGATCGAACACTCTATTACTCTGTCAACTAAATCTCCGATAAATGTCCTAATTTCTTTATTTCAAACCGATCTGATCCGCGGACCCTTCTACTCTTTCTCTAACACTATTGCCCAATATCACGAATTAGCTTCCACGGTACAAACGGTAACGCAGAGACGAATCAAACGTCGCACAGTTCGAACGGCCGTTTTCTAGACGAAACTCAATAACTTAACACTAAAACTACCAGACAGATTAAAATCACCCATTACCGATTTCCTTTCTCGCAATTATTAAAAAGACAACAGATGTTCCTCTGAAAAACTATTCAAGAAATCGATTCAACGATACGCAAACTGGATTGTAAATCGATTAAAGTTTCAATAGATCTCTTGGAGCTTCTATAGAGGAATTTCCAAAAGTCGATTTAACTACAAAATACGAGAAAGTACTTCAGAAGTTGTAACACAGCCAAACACACGGTGGTTATTTGTTCGCATTACAGGGATATGAAGTTTTTCCAATGACAATGGATATTCCGCGTTTCTATTCGAACGCTCTATAAACACAGAAACGTAATTTATTCGCGCAAAATTGTTATTTTTCAAATGAAAATCATTTTGCACACCAGGGACCAGCGACGCATTGGTAACCTTCATTTCATTATGCGAATAGTCGAATTCAGGAGTTTTGACCACAGGCGGCCGCACTGTGCGTCAGTGGAAACGGATGTAACGCGTATGAAATGTAGCAACGGGATAAACGTTTCCGCAAATCTTTCGGAAAGATACGATACGTTTAGGAACGTCGATAGGCGATGCACGCGGAGCCGTATCGGGGAACGTCGTTCCTAGATCCACGATCGTGGCCTCTTCGATCCTGAATCTCGAGGAATTCCTTCGAGACTGATCGCGCGCGGTTCGATCGGCGCGATCGAAGCAATTTCGAAAACGATAAGATCCGAGCGTTCCCGGGTCGTGATAGGTGTCGCGGAATCGAATGCGGTAAACCGTGCAACGACATATCCGAACGGAAAAAATTACTGGCTCGCCGGGTAGGGGATTTCCCTCGGCGGCGAAGATCCCGCGATCGCGCCGCGGCGCCTCCGCGCGCTTTTAGAATCAGCGGGGATCCGATAACCTCGGATCGAGCGTATCTCGATAAATACTTTTTCATTTTTCCGCCTTTCATCGGCGTTTCATCGCGATTCCGCGGAGTCGCCTGTGCGTTCCTTTTCCGCAGATTTCTCGCGTCGAAACTGCTGCACGCGAATATAATAGCGTGGCGGCGATAGCGAGAACGATAATGGTTATACTTGACATCCAGTTTCGACCGAGTCGACCCACAGGCTGTTTGTGAACAAAACTCCTAAATTCGATTATTGGCATAAGGAAAATTGAAAATTAGCAACGTATTGTTAAGTAGTCTCTATACAGAATGACTGACATTTCGAAGACAACAATATTGTGCAAACGAAGTCAGTTTCTCTATTTATAACGTTGGAATCGAAACGCGAAATATCCATTGTTATTGGAAAACTTTATAGTATCTCCATAATATAAACAAAATATAGCTACCATATGTTCAGCTCTATACACTTTTGTCTGAAGTGTTTCTCATATCATTTACACTTTTCAACACTAAAACTATCAGACGGATCTAAATGACCCATTTCTAATCGTTTCTTTCTGCAACTATCAGAAAGATAGCAGATGTTCCTCTGAGATATTATAGAAATTGATTTAGCCGCACGCAAACTGAATTGCAAATCAATTGAGGCTGCAATAGATGCGCTCTCCGAGTTTCTATGGATTTTCAAAAGTTCAGTTCAACTGCTCGGTAGTTTTGGTGTTAAGTTATTGAGTTCAATCCAGAAAACGAGCGTTTGGCCGCAATGCGGGACGGGTCAGCGCGAGCGGGTTCACCGACGCTTCCCGCGCGACGAATCGGAGCAGCCACTCGAATTCCGTGAAGTCGTTGGACTTAATTGTCGCGCGTCTCTCCCGCGATTCCCATTTCGACCGCGTCTACGTGTCCCTAATACGAACGAAGAGCGTCGAGATAATTACGCGGCATCGGGACATCCGATTCGATTCACGGCGAGCGAATCTTCGCGTATCACGTTCGCGGAAGCTACCCTCGACATCGGTCCGCGACGCGGAGGTCAGTTTATATCGACGGATTCGTCCGTTCGTTCATCGGGATCGTTTGCTTTTCTCATCGGTGCTCGACGCGCGACGTTTACTTTATTATTTTCGAGACGCGATTCCTCCGGTTCGATTCCCCGACGCGACGGTGTAACTTTTCTTCGTCGAGCGTCCGTTCCCTCGAACTCGGCGAACAAATACTGTCCCAGACGTTGACCACCGACGACGCTGCCACTTCGTTTAAGTAAGCAACACCGCGAGGAAGGCGCACGGAACGAATGCGAATGTATAATACACGAGCCGAGATTCGACTTTTCGCGTCTGCGGTATCGATTCCCAGCTGTCGGCGAGACACAGCGCTAACATTTCCGAGGAAAAGTCACGGGGATCGTCGCGTGTTATCGCGGCGCGGGGATGCGAAACTTTCTTCCGCAGTTGGCGCCCCGAATTTGCTTTCGCCGACCGACTGCAAACGAACCGAATCCGAGGTATTCCACCTGCGTTAACAGAACGGAAGGCAAGTTGAAAGTAACAGGTGTTCGTGGCACCGTAAACAGCGCGAATCTTGTTAGCTAAGGATTCTTACGAGGTTCCGAATGAACTCCATTCTTGAATCGGTTATCTTGAAATATCTTTGACTTGAACCGTTAAAGCTGCACGTCTGACGCTTTGCAGTGTTGGTTCTCATAATGGAATAACGAATCGGTTTTTATTTAATTAAGATAGTAAATAAACATGTCTGTTCCGCACAATTAATCGGCACGTAACAAACTGCATGAACTTGTATCATGTGTATCGTCACGGGGATCGAGATACGTTTTTATGTTTAACTATCATTTTATCCAGTCAATTCATAGACGGTTGTCATCGTCGATACTATCTCTAATAGCCCGCGTAGGAAATTCGACGTCGCGACCGCACACGTCCTCAAAATATTCCTCGGATGCGTTGAAGGCATGGCACGCCGCGCGCAAAAAGGATAACCGCGAGCGCCGATATACGTGGAATTCGTATACCTGAAATGCCTAGAATATACCGGTATTTTCGGAAATTTCCAGAGAATATCGGGAGCGTTTCGAAAATATTCCGCGGACGTCGCGACGCCGGGTCGCCGCGCCGAGACGTTTTCCGGGGCGAAGTCGGAGTTCGTGCCTGGAAACGCTGAAACAAGACGTTCCACGGGAAATCCGGAGTTACGATAATTCGCGATTTTCCTTTGTGCCGCGAGATCGCGCCGGATTCCGGATGCAATCGTCGCACCGGTGCGTTATTCCCCGCTGGGAATCGGCCGTGTTCGAACGGGTCGGCGTCAAAGCAAATACAAAAAGGCGGCGGCCGCGATTCAGTCGAGATCGAGGCGCGATTGTTTAGCGTCGTCAAAGGAAAGGTTTCGATCGCGGGAATACCACCGCGTCCCTCGATCCCCCTTTCCCTCGTAGTTTTTCGTTAGTTGGGAAATACTTTGTCCATGGGTCATTTTCGAAACGGGGCGAGGTTTAATTGCGGCCGTTCAACTGCTTCTCCCCGTTTCGCCTCGAAGTTGCCGCGCGCACTACATCCTTGAATCGAGATACGTACTTACTCGGCATGCTTTTTCCCCAGGAAAACTTTGTTATTACAGCGAAACGTGAATTATATCCGCTCCCATCTGGCGTCCTCGGTCTTTCTTTGCCCGGCGTTAGACGGTCTCGCGCCGCTACCGCCAGCCCTGCCTCTCGCTGTTCACCGCGATTTCTTTACCGCTGGAACTCACGGCTGCTGGAAAATCGAATTTGTCTTTATTCGAGGACGCTGCGCCCGATCTGTCACATTCTTTCTTCCTCGATCGATCCGAGTAACGTTATTAACGGTACCGTTTGTTTCTAGGTGAAAGGGGTTCGGAGTCTCGCCGGGACCACACGGAAGCGGCGGCGTTCGAACTGCCCGGAATGCCGGGACGAGATTCTCCGCGGAAACCGGAGTACCACGGGAAACAGTGGAAATGGGGGAATTAGACGAGCACCGTCGCGCACGGGGCATCGTCGGTTCCGCAAGTAGCTTCTCGTTCGTCAAGGTTTTTGAGATTTCTGTCGGCCGTAATGAACGGGAGACGGCTGTCGCACCTGTTGCATATCGAGCCGTTTCTCGCGTGAGTAATCTTTAAACGGTCGCCCGCCGACAATGTGGACGCCGCGCGATCGAACCTAGAGGTGAAAAGATAAAGGAGAGGTGATCGGAGCCGGCGCCGCAGAGGAAACTAGAAAGCACCGTTGCTCGACGTGGTTCGATCGAATCCGAACAATGCCGCGGTGATCGGTTCTCGCTGGCTGGGGTCCGATCTCTGAACGTGGAAGATGAAATGGACCATTTTTTAACTCGGGGATCGTACAGGTGTGAATGTGAGATAACAAGGGAAAACGAGTACGCGCGCGGGTGGGGGAGAGGCGAGATGAACAGCGCGGAGAATTCGACGGAGACGCGAATATGCCTTCTGCAGGAAGATTTGGAGGACCCTCGGACCTCGTCGCTGAGAAGGATCAGCTACGGCATTATCCTGCCCGCTATCTGTTGCTTGGGAATCATAGGGAATATTTTGAACCTGGTCGTCCTAACCAGGCGCAATATGCGAGGGACCGCTTACATCTACATGAGAGGTAGGTCTTTCCCACCGTTCAGTCGCCGTTCCTGAGGGAAAAGCGAAACCCCGGCTGCTGCCGGATAGAGACAGCCAAAAGAATTACGCGCGCTGCGCGTGTAACTCGTATCGCGAGTGGCGAATCGGGGAAACAGGGTCGTCGGTAGAACGACCGTCCAATATCTTCGGCTAAAGTTGTCCCGCGTTTACGTAATACTCGAATGGAAAGCCAAGCCGCGTCTACACGTCGAATCGCAGATTACGCGCCGTAACGGGGACCAAGGATTCCCCCGCGGGATCCGCGAATCCTCGACTTCGATACCAAGCCGAAACGCGACCGCCGCGCAGCCGTTTTTTCGACAAGCGCGCCGGATTCTCGGCTAAAGTTTTATTCCCCGGCTTAACCGTTAAATCCAGCCACCGCGGTCGCGCTCCTCCCTCGAATTCATTAGCGACGAGGTTTAACTCGCATCCACGCCCACCTCGGCTACTCGTAACGATTTTGTTCCGCGAGAAAGGAGTGTTCTTCCGGGGGAGGATTGAAAATTCGGAGAGTTCCGATTCTCGAAGCAAACCTCCACGGCGGAGAAAAATTGAAGCGGGACGCGACGGTTTTCGCGTTAGGGTCTCCGCGCTCGTTTCCGGTGCGACAACGAAAGTACATTAGGGGGAAATTACTCGGCAATTCAATTTTCGGCTTTTCCTCCTGCCGACATTTGGAGAAGTGGATCCCGGCGGATTACGTAAGCCACGAGTCACAATTATCATTGTATAGAGCTGTAGCCTCGACGGTTCTATCTTGGAACGTCCGTGAGATTCACGGTCATTCGATCGGTAAAAAAGCATTGATTAAACCGAGCCAGATAATATTTGTCCAGTCACGGGAGGAGACGACGTCCGCAGTAATCATCGCGCGTTTGTCCTCGAAGATTACCCGCCACGGTATTCCGAGCGCGAGTCGCGCGGTATTCCGGCGGCCGGATATCCAGGAATCACGCTCATGGGAGAGCGCCGTTCGCATTCGGCCAGGGTAAACATATAGGATCGGATCGGATACGGGATTGGCGGTAGCATGGAGCGACGGTGCTTCTCGGACGCGGAAAGTCGCATGAAATTTCCGGTTTATGCGGTTTCCTCTTGACGTTCGGCCCGCGTCGACGCCGCTGGAGAAAAGGGAAACGACCGAGGGCGGACGAAAAGATTCTCGATCTCGTTTGCCACCTTTGTATATTCGTTATCCGGCGAGAAGCCGTTTCATTGTTCCCGTTCTTTTCATCCTTTCCTCCGCCGCGGCCCGCTTCGTTTCTTTTTCTCTTTCGTTTCCTTCCGTTTAATGAACGATCACACGACTTTCAGGGCTCGCTAATAAATTACAATTTACGGGGAAACGTCCACCTTTCGGTCTCCTTCGCCCTTTCCCATCCGCAGACCATTATCTCCTCCCTCCGCCGGGCTCTATCGCTTTTCGCCTATCGGATTCATTTTTCATATTCCGCTCGCCGCCTTCCATCCCGCCCCGGTCCGCGGCGTCCACAAGTTTTTTTCTCCCGCTCCGTTCCACCTGCCGGCGTGCTTTCGCGCCGCTAATTCTTTTGCTCGACGCAAGGATTCCCGATACGTTTCACGCTTTAATCGTCTTCGTGGAGCTTCCGCGCCGGCAGCTCGAATCCAACGCTCGAAGCCAATATTCAGCGCGGAAACTCGGTCGAATCCATCTTACCGTAAAGACGGCTAGACTCGAGCGTGCCGAGGGAATTTATCCTCTCCCAGCGTTCGCGTCTATGCGCGCCGGGACGATGCCGAAACCGAGCGAATCTATTTTTCGGAATCATCGGCCGCCGGTGCGCCCGAATCGGTACGCGATCGTTTAATCGTAACGAGGACGCCGCGCGAGCGGACCAGCGCCGACGCACGCTCCGGCGAAAAATTGAATCGGAAAGCGGAAAACTCGGCGCCGACGAGATTAGGGGGACGCGAAACGTGAAACGCGAAAGCGGAAGCGCAGCCACGGAGAGAGGCACGTGAATCGACAAGTTCGCCGCGCGCTCGTCCCTGGAAGCCTATCGATATGCACGATGTACCGCTGCATCGGTGACGAGGGTGAGGCTTGGAACGAAGATGAGGTCGAGCAGGACCACGAGGACATGCCTTTCAGCATGGAAATATTGCGAATCCCGGGATATTGGGCCGGAAGAATTTGTGCGTAAGGAAATGCAATTGAAGACGTGCTCGGAAACGAGGAGAGCTGTGTTCCGACCTCGCGTATACATACGGAGACGAGAGGGAGGCCATCCTACGACGTGTTTCCACGTGTCGCGATTGCGATGCGATACGAGCGGCGGTTCCGGAGATTCGTTACGCGTCGTTAGCCGAAACCCTTCCGCGGAGGTTAGGCTTCGATCGAAGAAACGGTAACCTTTTAAGTTAGCGAAGCTACACCTCTGTACGGCGAGGTATCACATTTATGTATCATAAATATCACTTGAGACTGATCGAATTTTCCACTGTGTAGTTAGATTAGAGTATAATGTGCAATTATCGATGAAGAATTGTGCTATAGTGGCGTACCGTTCAAAGAGATGATACAAAGCCACTATAATGGAGTACAGTAGCTGAGAGATTGAGTCGTTGAGACATCCGATGACGTTTCAATGGTAACTCCCGCGGAATCTTGACCATCGACCTGATGGATTTCCAGCCGAGTCTTCTTTCCAAGCTGCGCCTTGTCCAACGACGGAAGGGTGAACGTGCGAATAGTTTAAATGTTCGACTAATGAAGTTCGGAAGAATTCGAGGTGCTCGCATCAACTCGAATTGCAGCAGTTTTCTAATCCGGGGGAAACGAAGCGTGCGAGCTCCTCGGACCGTGCTTCTTTGGATCTCTCGCGGACCTTTTTCCGCTCTGGAATCCCATTACCTTCTTCCGGGAAATCGAGCACGCTCGTCCCGCGCAAAAAAATTCCCCGTTCTGTCGGCAAGCTTCCCTACTCGGTATCCCCCGGTATCGTCGGTCTATCCATCGGTTATTACCATTTAGAGAGAGTCTTCCGTTGCAACATCTATGTACACATCGTCTCGTCGGCCCCGACGATCCGTTCCGTCGAACGTTAACGTTTACGTCTATATTCCTCGTCGCTGCAGACTTTATGAATATTAACGAGCACGCTGCTACGCCTCTGCTTGTCGTTCCATTAAACGCCTTGCTCGAAACTACCGGCACAACTCGGCCCCGATTCCGCGGCGACGCGCAATCGGCATTCGTCGCCGGGGCGAAGTTTTCGTGCGCGAACACGGAATTCCGGCGGGCAACGGCGAACTCGAAGCCATCGGAAAACCTTGGATTTACGTCACGGTTAAATTGCAAAGACCGAAAATATTACTCGGGGCCGCAAGGTGGTTGCCGTCGCCGTTGCTTCCGCCGTTGCCTCCGCCGTTGCCGGTTTAGGCTGGCTTAGAGGCTGAGTTACGGTATCCGGGGGACAACTTCTTCCAGCTTACTTAGCCCGGCAGACGCGTCCGAATATCCGTTGTCACCTTAAACCGATCCCGCAACCAATTTCGTTACGAAATACGGAAGTTCCCCGTTCCGTTCCGGCAAATTTGTCCATCGGGTAAAAGTAAACGGACGCGTTAACGAGCGACCGAATTGCCCCCCGAGTACGCGAGAAAATGGAAATGATCGCGCGGAACGCAAACTTTCGGGGGGATCGCCCGAAAACCGACGATCGAGATTCCTGGAACTTTTCTTATCTCGCCGTGCTCGGCATCGCAATATCGGGGGTCGGCGATACGACGGTTTTGCAACGTCCGATGGTCCTGATAGATTAACGAATCAAGTGATATTAAACGACGCCGGCGATTCCTGAATTCTGAACCCGCATCCATCTTATCCTTATGAAGATACGGATAGTACCATTGAATTACCATACAGGGAGTCTCGGGATCAGAATTTAACATAAAATAATACTATATTTCGAGGAGCATACAACGTACCATACGTCTTCCATAATACCATGCTCGTGTAAATAATATAAATGTCCCTTAAGTAAATCTTTATCTAAATATTTGTATATTACGTTGAACGACGATTACCGTTGAATTACCAGTGATTTTCGGGATCAGAACTTAACATAAAATAATACTACACTTTATCCGGAAGAGCGTACAATGTGTCACGCGTCTTCTATAATACCATGCTCGTGTAAATAATATAAATGTCCCTTAAGTAAATCTTTCTCTAAATATTTGTATGTTATGTTGAACGACGATTACCGTTGAATTACCAGTGATTTTCGGGATCGGAACTTAACATAAAATAATACTATATTCTACCCTGAAGAGCGTACAACGTATCAACGTCTTCTATGACACCACGTTCCTGTAAATATTATATTAAATGTCCCTTCAGTAAACCTGAATATTTGAATATTTCGTGGAATCAACGTCACGGTATCCGTTGGCTCTTCGGCAAAATGACCGTATTCTCGGTACGCGCGTTCGGCTGGATCTTCCATTGAACGTTCCACGCGACATCGCAGCGTCGCGACACAGTACCAACCAGTTTCGCCATTGGAAGAGTAGAGCAAGCTCCCTCGCAGTCACGTACACCCGTGGAGCGGACATCGCCGAGTAAAACGCTTCTGAGATACCTCCAACTCGTTCTCTCGGTTCTCTCCTCGTTGGATCTGGATCTTCCTCCGGGTGGCGCCTCCCAGGATGATCTCGGAACGAGACTGGTATCGGTCCCGCCTCGGCGATTCTTAAAAGATCCCCCGCAGCGTACGTCAACGATTCTCCTTGAAAGCTTCCGAGGCTGACAAAGTTCCGACGATTCATCAGGGAATTCATCGCGTCGCAAATACATTCGACTCGAAGAGTTCGCGGAACGAGAACATTCGTTTAACCGTCGTTCTCCCTGTTTTCGACCCGGTCACTGGCCGATTTCGTCTACACGCCGACTTCCGCGCAACCAATTCCGGAATTTGTCCTGTCCTCCGAGTCGCCGAGAGATCGTGTTCG